TTTACACATAAAAGAATATTTTGTAATGACACTATTTAAATACCACAATATAATATTTCCCACAGATCTTTGCATGATTGCTTGAATATCTGATATATCTGATCAATTCAATATCTTAGTTGTTTCAATCAAACATTATATCCATATACCCAAACCCCACATCTAAACCTGGTCTTAGCCAGATTCCAGTTGAAGAAAAACAAATGTAGATGTTTCAACATCTAAAACACGTTTTCAAAAGTTGCCCCTGGAGGGCAAATACGTATGCAGGTTTTCCTGTTGACTTTTAAGCACCAGCAGCACAAAGAGCTTGTCTAATTGAGCAAATAATGATCTGATTCAGGTTATTTTGGACTGAAAACATGTAAGCACACCATACTTCCAGAACACGGATTGGTGAGCCCTGGTCTAAATGTATTTCTGTATAATACTGAGATAATGTTGCATTATATCATTCTAAATTATTTTTTAGCTGTTACAATAATGAAAAAAAAAACATTGGTCTCCATTGGAATATTTATTTACATCTTTCTATTGTAGGTTTGTAAAATATTATTTCAAAAAGGCCTTGATTTGAAACTTACACAGATAACTTCATATTTGTCCTGAAATATAAATTTGGTCATTATAAAAAAATAATATTTTGTGCATTTCACAGTACAAACTGTAAGTATAATATTGAAAATATTGAAACTCAAACTTTTAGTCTTGTTAATGCATGCTTCGATGAGTTAAACAAGTTTTCTTGCCACAATTACAAAAGTGGATGTGTTGTTTAAATTAGCTACATTCAAATAAAAGTCTGTTGAACTAAAATAAATGCAAAAGCACCTATTCTTTCATGTTTGTTCATTTGTTAGTCAAATCACAGTATCTGATCAGCAGGGATCAAGTAAACATAATAAAACAAATATCTTTCAAAGACTAAGCAAAAAAAATGTTATTATTTTTGGGATTACTGTTTTTAAACATCTTTGACACCACTTCTGTATTGCAAAAACTTGGCTAATATATACATAATATATTTGTATTTACAAATCTTAATGTTTTTCCTGTTACACTAGATTCAAATCTATTTTTATCTTTTACTTTCACAGTTGTGTTTACATGTGCAGTTTTATGGTTTATGTAACTGTACAGATAGGAAGATGTCTGTAGGTTTATAAAGCTTATTTGCCTTGGAATATTGGGCCCTGAATAAAGTAAGTGAGGAGCTACACTGAAATTAACCACACCCTAACAACAGGGTGGATAATACAAAGATTACAGTTTTTGTAGTACATGAATACCCCAGACAGGGTGGAGATGGTAATCAACAGAATATTTATATGTACACAGAAAACAATGTTTAATTTATTGTTTCCAGCTGTATTATTTTCTACAGATATGCCCTTATAGACTTACTGTATACTGTCCCTGCAATTTAAATTGACTTGTAAAAATGTTTGAAATTCTGTTTTCACTCTATGAGATTTAAAATTGAGCTAAATCTGAAAAAGAAATGCCACAATTATTTTTAGCTATTGTTACTAATCCCATGAAACAAGTAATAAGAATAATAACAATGAAAATTGTATGAAGGAATAAACATATAACAATGTTAAAGAATCATGTAAAAGTAGATTGTTGTTTGACATTGTTATGAATTATTCATGCTTTCTAGTATTTGTTTATATTGACTCAATTAAATGCATCTGAAATTCTTAATAAAGTGGATGGTTGTGATAAATAAAACATGTTTTCCAGAAATCATCTAGAGACAGTGTAATGAAATTCATTTTCCTCTATGTTTATTTACTACAGAAAATGGATTAGAATAGGGTGGCATGGTAGCACAGTGGTTTGTATTGCTGCCTTATGGTGTTGGGGTGCTCACTGGAATTAAAGACAAAGTGTTAAATGTATCAGAATACAAATCAATACTGATAGTAATCTTGCTCTCCTATCCCAACATTCCTCACTTTGCGTCCCTCCCTCCCCCAAATTAACACCCTTGCTGCAGCTCCTTGACTAATTTTTCTCAGTCGGCAGAGGGTGGATTATTTCTGTCCTTTCTCCATGCAGTGTTTTGTTCCCTCCACCATGCAAGTGTAAGCCAAATTTGTTCCAAATTATCTTTTGCTATATCACGTCATAGGATTTGTCTAATATTGGGTAATAGATTCTCCTTCAGGAAATTGCTTGGATCTTGAGACCTAGAACACTTATCTCATGCACACAATGTGAAATCCTCTTGCATAGAGCAAAAGGTAATGCTATATATCTTGTAAGCCAAAATACATGTATATTTTGCATTTCATATCTGGATTTACTATGCTTCATTTACATAATAACAACAATTCCAGTTGCACAAAACAGGGAAGGTCTTGTTCAGAAGTCGACTTAGACATTCCTGCTTCTGATACCAATTTGCATTTTTCCTATGACATAATCTTCTTGTTAACTACATCTGCCATTTACATAGAAGCATATAATATAACAGCATTATAAAGAATAAATATTAGGTATGGCTTCATGTATTTTCCTCTGTAGAATTGTAATTACCAGAAAACCTCAAACAGAAAAATGTCTCTCTTTTATTAATATGGCCCACCTTCTTGAGATGCCTCTGCAAAATTATAAGTTTTTTAATTTTGTTTTAAGTATTTTAGTCTAAACCTGTCAAGACAAGTAGTTTCTCTGTGGTTTGATACACAATATGAATTAAAGAGAAGAAAGAACTCTTTTAGCAAACACAGCACTTGAAAATAAGTATACATGAATATACAGTTTATTGATGTAAATAATATACAGCAGGTCAACCCTAAAGAATCCAAGTCTTACCAGAGCACCTGAGCAAGGGTGATTTGATTCTGTGGAAATCTTCTACAATGTTCTTTGTTGTAGAAAAGCAGAGCATGATGTTAGGGGGTTCTTCTAGAGAAGACTGGGTCACAAAACTCCTACTATGAGACACAGGGCTCTTATTTCTGAAGTACTATACCTCCTTGTGCCAACATTTATAGACCAAAATCCATAAGGCCATGCAAATCCATAGTCCTGACACTTGACACAGATCCTGGACAGAACATCTATAGCCAAAGTATGACTTATCAAATCACACAGAACAGAAAACCAAAACATTTTTTTACTTTTTGTGCATTTCCTAAAGGGAAGCAATGGAGCACATCAAACAACAGATTTGGGTCTAGATGTGGTGACCCATAGAATTAAGATATTAAAAGTATGAGAAGCTACAGTATGTAATTTATGAACCTTGTGTGGGTCTCCAGGTGAGGTCCAGTAGCTGAGGTATCCATGGCAGTTGACGAGGTAGAGTGGTCAATTATTCCAGTCATAGTCAAGTCCTGGTAGTACACAATAAGATAGGCAAACAAATCCGATAAGGGCGAGGAAAGAGCAAGTAATCCAAAAACCAAAACCAAAGAGTTGATGTTTTGGGAGTCCAAACGAGGAAAAACAGGTAGTAAGGAGGAAAGGGCGAGGTGAGCTCAGGAGGCAGAAAAGACCCTAATAAATAGTGAAGTAAGGGGTGTGTAAGGAATATTGGATAAAAATGGGTTAACTAAGACCAGCTGAAGCCATAACAAAAAGCTGTTCTGAGAAAAAAAATTACTGGAAGATTTTGTTTTTTAAATCAATGAAACATGAATTAAATGTTATAACTAAACCACCTGTTGTAGTTTGTTTACCCCATTTCCACTATGTGTACCTGGTTAATACAAATACATGGTTAGCCACAAATTATTCCAAAAGAATTCTGAAGCCTCAACTAAGCACTTAAGAGTTGTGAATGTCATGGAGTGCTTAAAGCCCACAAACAGGTTTTCTATAGGGAAAATGGATATATTAAGATAGCACATAGTCAATTCCAGTACATTAAAGAGTAAGTTACTAAAAATGTGATTGTAAAAAATGAATACCATTTAAACAGAATCTTTGGCATAAATTTAATTTATAGTTTGTTGAAGGGATATGTAATTCCCAGATTTATCCAAATATTAAAAATGGAAAACAAAACCCAGAGACTGAAACATATTATTATAATTCAAAAAGCAGTTGTTTAAATAAGGCTATCACATTTAGCTACTTAGCCAAATATCCATAGTGTCTCAATTTTACTAAATTATTTCCAAGATAAATCCTCAAACAAACATTTATTTTACAGTAGCCGAAAAGGAAATTTGACCAGTTCTGACCATTGATCAATTGTTTTTATAGTAGGTAAAGGAAAAGAGAATCTCATTCAGAAATGTTTAAAAAAACATGATGGCATTCAATTATTCCAGTTTCCTACAGGTCTTTGTGTAAAGAAGGGCCTCCTTTACTCCTTTTTCGTGCGATGTGTACTCCCCATTTGAATATGTACAGTGTGCTTTGGTATGCAGTAAAACTATACTGAGAAAAATACTTGGTATGCCGTACATTAAAGACATTATAAATCTAAAATCATTTTAAAGCTCACAAAATGATTTTGATGCAAAACTGCTTACTTTCTGCAATGAGATGCTTTATGGGAATATTTTAGCAGTCTATGATGACAATCACACATTCTGGGAGTGTTTTGGTTGAGGTAGCCATAGTTTTTTTTTTCTTGGTTCATAACCAATATAATGGACACTAATAAGAGGCATTGACGATCTTCTGTATAAACCATGCACCATGCAATACTCTTAACTCACAGAAGAATAACTTTTTTTTTCCAGAAACCTAATAAAAATGATAAAGTTTCTTACAATTTTGTATGAGGTTGATTTGGTGCAGAACATTAAGATCTTATGTGAAATACTGAATAGAAATACATTTGCTATTCAAATAAGAATGGAAAGTAAAAGGTATAGTGATGGATTCCAGTATTTACAGTACTTTACCAGATGGTCAGAGGTGATACTCGCAATGCAAATTTTAGAGCAAGTCTATTGTATTTGTCAGAGAGTCTATTTGCCTCTGGTATTTGTTGAAGCACTTTCAACTTACATATCCACTTTTCCCCCCAAAGAGTCTTCCTGCTTTCCATCCTCTCTTACAGAATTTTAGAAAAGTTCCTACGGTCAATACAGCTTTGGAAGAATGGATTAATTTCCTGTCTTCACTTGCTGAAACCTTATTTTGAGGAACCACATTAATTTTCTTTTGGAATAAAGGTCAGTACCTGCTAATTTCATCTGTAAATTTCTAATGTCTAATATTCAAATTTACTGTATTTTACTTACTTTTAATGAGTGAGATCTCCTGCAAATCAAACTGTATATAACTGTTTACACAAGACTACACATCACTTGAACTTGAACTTGAACTTGAACTTTATTGCCATATGTAACCGGTACTGGTACAATGGAATTCTTACTTACAGAAAGTCTCTCGATTGTAAAACAAGTGTAAAAAACAAGACAAAGTGCAAACAGTTCAACAATACAATGTACAAACAAACAATAGACAATGTGCAAGTAAACATGTAGACAGTTTGAATGTTAACAATACGGATTGTCTTATTACTCTTCATATAATAAGATTGCTAGCTGTTAGCAAAGCTTATTGTAGAGCTTTAATATGATTTTTACACACAATCTAAAACAACAGTAAGCAAATTAGCTGTTTCCCTAATTAAAAAATCAGATGAACTAAATTTTGCACTGGAACTGTATACATCTGTAAATGGAACTGTGCCTAATGTACAGTAGCTAAGAATTAAAAGCTAAATAACCTATTTTCATAAACTTCTTAAAATATGAATTTATATGAAATGTGACTATATGAAACATATTTAGTATAACTCATGTTAGGGGGCACATACTGTAATGAAAATGAATCTTTTGAAAGGAATCTATGCTGTTTTCCCTCCTTAATAATTCATTTCAATATAAAATGCAATGGTATATTATTTTACCCAGTGTTATTTGATAAAATGGTATAACAGAAAGTTATTTATACATTTTAACACTACTGTATTCTGATGGGATGCATCTCTTTTAGATAATTCTGAATCAGAAAATCATCATCAGAAAATGGTATGCACAAAAATCTGTACTTGTGGATAGACTGTTTACGTATATAAAATAAAATATCCTAGCACATACTGTATATTAAGCAATCAAATTCTGCATATATGTTGTCATTGCTGTGGAATACTTAAGTTTTTTCAATCTGTATAACGTCCACTAGAAATTTGGTTGACAATCTGAATGTACTTTAAAGTTGGAAAAAAAAATTGTTTATAAGCAGGTGTGAGCCTGGTCAGTACCTGGATGGGAGACCTCCTTGGAAAAACTAAGGTTGCTGCTGGAAGAGGTGTTAGTGGGGCCAGCAGGGGGCGCTCACCCTGCGGCTCATGTGGGTCCTAATGCCCCAGTGTAGTGACAGGGACACTATACTGTGAACAAGCGCCGTCCTTCGGATGAGACGTAAAAACCGAGGTCCTGACTCTCTGTGGTCATTAAAAATCCCAGGGTGTTTCTCGAAAAGAGTAGGGGTGTACACCGGCGTCCTGGCCAAATTTCCCATCGGCCTTTATCAATCATGGCCTCCTAACAATCCCCCTCTATAAATTGGCTTCATTACTCTGCTCTCCTCCCCACTGATACCTGGTGTGTGGTGAGCGTTCTGGCGCACTATGGCTGCCATCGCATCATCCAGGTGGATGCTGCACATTGGTGGTGGTGGAGGGGAGTCCCCATTACCTGTAAAGCGCTATATAAGTGTAAGCAATTATTATTATTATTAATGTTCATTTTATGCCGCTTATACATCCATCAATAAAAACTGTGGACCTCCAGTACCAGTAGTGAATTACTGATATACAGCAAATGGTAAACATTGAGCTTCATACATATTATGTTTTAGTTTAAATTAGATCCTCAGTTTCTATCTCTAAACTACCAATTACATTATAATTTACAATAGCACTTTTTCACATAAACATAGTGTTTCTTAAAGGAATAGTTTCAGACCCCATAATGAGAAGGAGTGGGGCTGTAATACATATTCTTTTCACCAAAAGTGGTGAGGAGTATTGACAAAAACTTGAGCTGTAGGTTCACCCTCCAGAATTACACTGGTCTCTTACTTACACAGATTATTACCTGAAACAAATATTGTGTTACTTTCAGTGTGTAGGGGTTTTGTGCATTTACTTGGACAATTATTAATTGTAGCAGTAAGTCACAAAATTATTCTTTGTGCTGAAAATAAAAAAAGAGTTATACTATCTTCCTTAATTTTAGATGATGTTAAATCAGTTTAGTGATAGTCACTAAAAGTATGTTACAAAGTAAAGTTGAATGTTTTTTTTATTTTCTCTCAGCATTTTAAATTAGGTACATTTCTAATTCAATTCAGCAAAAATCCACAGTACAGCCATTCTTCACTCCACTCCTTCTCTAGACTTGTCCTCACAGATTCACATTTAATACACTAACTCATGGCACCACACTTTGTTTTCCATTTTGTGTTTTGTAACATATTTTAACAGAAGAAGCTTGTTTGCTCCACTGCAAGACTTGGCTGACTTTATTAATTCATTATAAAACTTGCTATTTTTATAATGAATATGCTATAGTATATATAAATGTGTTTTATTTGAATTACATAGAAGAAATTGGGAGCAAAATTTCTGTGGAGGTCTGAAAATTGCAATCGCTCATTGTTGTTATGTAACATTCTCTACATCACTGACCTCCATTTTCATTAAAAATACTAAATACTGTGAGCTTCTGCATTTGTGCAGAGTATTATACGTAGAGTTACTACAGGTTTTTAGAAAATGCTTAAACTGAAAAACTCAGTGGATAGATATCAGTTATTAAAAAATTGTATTGTTATTTATGTACTGCTGATTCAATATTAGTCAGAAAACTAATTATTTGATTGAAAAATGTTTAAAACTTGTTCCAGCAGCTGTGATTGCTTGTAATTCTTCTTTGGAATTTCAATAATTTCAGTATTACCATTTAATCTTCTGGAATTATTATATTCTATTTGTTTTTTTTACTGTTCTTACAGTTTTTCTTCATTTGAATTACAGGGTGAGCTGTGTTACCTCTTGGCAGAATCACATTTTACCTACAGTAAGTAACCATTTTTCTTAATGGAATGCATTTTTATATTTTGGAAGCATGAGGGGTGTCATTTCAATAATAAACTGTGTTGGGAGAAAAGGATTACGTTTTGGCCCCTTCCATGCTTGCATGTCTTGTAATACAGTCAAGTGGCTTGAGTGTTCAGCCCTGAGACTACTTTATAATAGTAACTCAGCAGTTCAAGTGGTAATAGCATGACTTGTGCAGCATAACCAAAGGTTGTCTTCAGCCTGAAGGATTGTTATATAACTATATGGCTCAAAGCCCTGTCTTAATATGTATAGCAGCCTATTTTGCAGTAGTAAAAGACTGGTGAAGTGATGCTTCTTCTCCTGTACATTCTCTCCTACTTTTTAGCTGTGGAGCCTTCTTCGGGTGTAAGAAAGATAGATTGCTTTTATGTACAGTAAGGATAGATGCATTCAGCATGGAATAAACCTATTACCTGTAACTATGGTTTATTTTGAAATCGATATGTATTGAGATACTGTATAGAGCAGGGCAATAAAAATATTTTTTGCACAGCTTGGAAATATTATAAATTAAAGATATAAGTGTGACCCAGCAGCTATATCACCCTGCAGCTCTCAACTTGCTACCCGCTGAAGCTAAGCAGGGTTGAGCCTAGTCAGTACCTGGATGGAGACCTCCTAGGAAGCTATGGTTGCTGCTGGAAGTGGTGTTAGTGGGACCGGTGGGCACCCACCCTGTGGTCTGTGTGGGTCCTAATGCCCCAGTGTAGTGGCGGGGACACTATACTGAAGTTGCACCATCTTTCGGATGAGATGTTAAACTGAGGTCCTGATTCTCAGTGGTCATCAAAGATCCCTGGGCATTTCTTGATAAGAATAGGGAGTTATCCCAGTGTCCAGGCCAAATTCCCCCCCTCGGCCTTTATCGTGGCCTCCAAATTGTCCCCATGTATGATTGGCTTGCACTTGCCCTGCGATGGACTGGCACCCCGTCCAGGGTGTACCCTGCCTTGTGCTCATTGCTTGCCAGTTAGGCTCCAGCTTCTCACAACACCGTATGGTCTTAAGCAGTTTGGCAACTGTTACGTCTGAGAAAGGGAAGAAATAGCAAGACGGATCCTAGGCGGAGTTTACAGATAGAGGCAGCGGGTAAACCAAAGCCCAAAACGTAATCCAAGAGCCGTAGTCAAAGGGGAATTCCAGGATCGTACTCACAAAAGGGAAAACAGAAACCAGAGTCCAAAAACGTAGTCAGAAACAATCCTTAGTTCGAAAGCTGAATAGAGAAAAGCCGAAAATTCCAGACTCAAGGAATAGAACACAAGGAAGTTAACCCAGTACTGAGCGAAGAAAAAGTCACAAGGGCTTCTTGAAATAGGGAAGTGCAGGGGGTGTAATGCAGAACGGGGAAGATGAGTGGTTAATGTGCTTGAGCGGAGTCTACGCCTTCTTAAAGGAGCTGTGCATGATGCCGTGGGTGTAACATTACCCCCCACGAGGGGCAGCTCTAAAAGGACAACTGGGAAAGTGTCGATGGAAGTCCAGAATAAGCGTTCGGTCTAGTATATCTCTTTCTGGTACCCAGGAACATTCTTCTGGACCTTTACCCTCCCAGTCAACCAGATAGTGTAATGATCCCCGATGCCAGCGGGAATCCAGAATCCAGAATGTTGACAGTGTAAGCCAGCAAGCCATCTATTATTTGAGGTGAAGGAGGTCTGGGTCTTTGGGTTGTGAAAATGGATGAAAATGGAAAGTGGTATGGCTTGAGCAAGGAAGTATGAAAAGCGGGGTGTATCCTAAGAGTGGAGAGTAGAGCTAGGCGATAGGTAACAGGGGTTATGTGGGCCAGTATACGAAAGAGACCAATATAATGAGAATCTAACTTATGGGATGATTGCTTAAGAGGAATACTGCTAGTTGAAAGGAATATTGCTAGTTGAGAGCCAAACTAGTTGTCTTCACCGGAAACGGGGCACTAGGAGGTGATACCTGTTCGCAGTCCTCATCTGCTTTGAGTGGTACGTGGCAAAGTGCTCTTAGCCGTTTTCCATACTTTTTGGAGATTACTAATGTATTCATTTACAGAAGGGACCTGGGTATCTGGAGTCTGGGATAAGGGGTGGTTGGTATCCTAAGGATAAGGTGATAGTCAGGTAGCTGAAGTAGTCAGAGTGTTATGGGCATAGTCCACCCAAGAAAGTAAGGAGACCCAATTATCCTGTGTAGTGGAGACAGGAAAGTTTGCAGTTCTTTATTTATGCGTTCCGTTTGACTATTTGCCTGGGGATGATAAGCCGAAGCCAAGGAAACTGAGGCTCCAAGAGACTTGCAGAAAGCCTTCCAGAATTTAGATACGAATTGTGGGGCTTAGTCAGAGACAATATCCTTGGGGATTCCATGGAGTCTAAAACATTGAATTTTTAGACAAAAAATAAAACTCAGAGCAAAAAGTTTGGTGGACAAAAAGATCCACCAGTTCAGGTGCCGAAGGAAGGGAAGGGAGAGGAATAAAGTGAGCTGATTTGGAAAAGTGACAAGTATAGTGACGAGTATGTTAGTGTTACCTTGACTTTTAGGAAGGTCCATGATAAAATGAGATGTGAGACCATGGTCGTTCAGGTATAGGTAGTGGATGTAAAAGGCCTCCTATTTTCTGATTGGTGGACTTGATCAGGGCACACACAGGACACGCCTTAACATATTCTGTAGTGTCTTCTTTCATGGTGGGCCAACAAAAATCTCTAGAAAGGAATTTGAGAGTACATTGGTTCCAGGATGCCTGGCAAACCGGGAATCATAACACCATCAGAGGACTAAGGATCTTACTGTGTTAACAACCAAATGTTTGTTGGGAGGGCACTGTGGAGGAACCGAGTGATTAACCAAGGCATGCCTAACCTCCTCCTCGATGTCCCATCTCATAGTTGCAATGAATTTATTGGGTGGGATGATGAGTTCTGGATCTGGTTCAGTTTCTGGGGGATCATAGAGGTGAGAAAGGGCGTTGGCTTTGGCATTCTTGGAACCCGGTATGTATGTAATGAAAAAGCAAAAACCAAGAAAAAAAGCACCCATCTAGTTTATCGAGGATTGAGATGTTTTGCCAGCTGTAAAGTTTTTATGATCGGTGTATAGAATAGAAGGATGTTGAGCGCCTTCCAACCAATGTCTCCATTCATCGAGTGCTACTTTAAGAGCTAGGAGTTCCCAGTTTCCAAGGTCATAATTGACCTCTGCTGGTGATAGCTTTTTGGAAAAAAGGCCACAACAGTGGAGAATTGCCTTATCCCCATGGCATTGAGAGAGCTGCTTCCACCCTATAGGCTGAGGAATCAACCTCCACAACGAAGGGTAAAGTAAGGTCTGGATGATGTAACAGAGGGGCTGTAGTGAATAGATGTTTTAATCAAGAAAAGGTTGTCTCCGTTTGGGGAGTCCATTTCCCTTGCTCTGGACCCTTACGAGTGAGTGCCGTAATGGGTACAACCACTGAACTGAAATTTCAAATGAATCTTCGGTAGAAATTAGCAAAACCCAGGAAGTGCTGGACCTGTTTAAGGTTCTTCGGAGTCGGCCAATCCTTTATGGCGGCTACCTTGCTGGAATCTATTTCGATCCCTTGAGGAGATAAAACGTATCCTAGGAACTGAATCGATGAGGCATGGAATATACATTTCTCTTATTTGACGTATAATTTGTTCTCAATGAAGAGGGACAGGACCTCCCTGACGAAAGTTATATGATCCTGCTGGTTGTTGGAATAAATCAGGATATCGTCTAAATAGACAAGAACAAATCTTTGTATAATATAATGGAATACATCGTTTATGAATGTATGAAACACAGCCGAAGCATTAACTAGACCGAACGACATGACCGGGTATTCGTAATGTCCATGGGTTGTTATGAACGCTGTTTTCCAATTATCCTCCTCTCGTATGCGGATAAGATTACATGCCTCTGTAAGTCGAGTTTAGAAAAAATGGTGGCTCCATAAACAGACTCCAGGTCTGTAGTAAATTAGAGGCAAAGAGTACCAATTTTTAATTGTAATTTCAATAAGACCACAATATTTGATGCACAGTGTTACCCCTCCATTCTTCTTTTCCACAAAAAAGAAACTAGCACAGGCTGGAGATTTTGATGGATGAATAACTCCTGCTTTAAACTATTCCTGGATATACTTCTCCAGAGCATCAGATTCCGTGTTGGGGGGGAATAGATCTTTCCTTTGGGAGGAAGGATGCCAGGCAGAAGCTCAATAGCACAGTCATAGGGGCTGGGTGGGGAGGGAGAGTTAGAGCTTTCTGTTAATTAAAAGCCTCAGGCAGATCTCTGCATTGGGGGAGAATTCTGGAGAGTTCAGACTGAGATAGTTTGGTGAGGGCTATTTTCACTGGTAGTTGACAACAGCGAAAGTGGCGTTGCGATCCCCAGCCTATCAGTTCGTTTTGAGCCCAAGAGATGTGAAGGTTGTGTTGGCATAACCAAGGGTATCCCAGCAGAAAGGGAGTGTCTCTAGAAGATAGAACTGAATTAGCTCATGATGAGTGGCACCGATTTGAATCGAGATCTGTGTGGTCTGCCAAATGATAGAACCATAGATTCTGAACACGGAGGAGTGGGTCTACTGACAGTAAAGGAATATTCCAAGTTTTGGCGAGGGCTGATTCTGTGAAGTTCCCTGCCACTACAGAATCTATAAAAGCAATGATTGACAAAAGGCAATTACCCCAGGATAGTGTTGCTGGGAAAAAAAGGTCTGGTGAAGGCATTAGAAAAATGAGATGGAAAACTCATCCCTGGTCTAGTATGCAGTCTTTGTGGAGTCCTTTTTGAGTCAATTTACAGATGCGGATTGAGGGGGCATTAAATTCCGGGTCTGAGATCTCTCTAGTTGTTGCTCTCAGAGATCAAGTTGAATTACTTGAGTTACTACCTCGTCGAGGGTCTTTCTGCTCAGGGGTAAAAGAGCCAAGTTATCTTTTAGTTCACTGGATAGTCCCTGACGATATAAGAAAATAAGTTCCTCCTGATTCCATCAGGTTTTGGCTGCCAGAATATGAAATTCGATGGAGTAATCCTGAGCTGATCTTTTCCCCTAGTGGAGAGTAGAAAGATAGGTAGCAGCTAATTGCTTTGGGTTAGGCAGGTCGAAAACTGCCTTTAGTTTTCTCTAAAATTGATCTAAATCACTCATCTCAGAAGCTCCGGGTTTAATTAAAGATGTAGCCCAGTCCAGAGCCTGTCTGGTCAACAAGGAGATGATAGACCTTATTTTCCCCTGAGAACTTGTGATATTTTCTAGATTGAGCTGGGAATTTGTGCCAGAAATCCACAATAACTTGCTGGGTTTCCATCATATCTCTCCAGTGTTATCAGTGGTGAGGATCGAGTAGCAGCGGTAGTAGGATGTGTAGCCGTGGGCGGATCGGGTGGGTCCTGTGGAGCTGAGGCAGTAGACAGGTTGACTAGTTGTCCCAATATCTGTTGTAAAGAGGCTTGTAATTGCATGAGAGCCAAAATGGTACACATAGAATCCAACTCCGTGGGATCCATGATTTTTTAGACTCAGTATTCTGTTACATCTGAGTAAGGGAAGAAATAGCAAGATGGATCCTAGGCAGAGTCTACAGAGTCAGCGAATAAAACAAAGTCCGAAACATAATTCAAGAGCCGTAGTCAAAGGGGAATTCCGGGATTGTACTCACAAAAGGGAAAATAGAAACCAAAGCCAAAACAGAGTCCAAAAGGTGGTCAGAAACAATCCTTAGTTCAAAAGCCACATATCAGACACAAGGAATAGAATGCAAGAAAGTTAACCCAATACTGAGCGAAGAGAAAGTCACAAGGGCTGCCTGAAATAGGGAAGTGCCGGGGGTGTGGTGCAGAATATGGAAGCTGAGTGGTTATATGCTTGAGCGGAGTCTATGCCTTCTTAAAGGAGCTGTGCGTGATGCCGTGGTTGTAACAATGACTTGATATAAGTGTGTTAATGCTCTTTATCTTTCAGTGACAAAATGAAGGTTTGTGTGGTGATTATGCTTTGCCACCTGGGATTCTGTTATTTTCAGGTGAGAATCTACATTTACATCTTGCTCACATTTTGTGAAAAGAATGGCAAAGTTCAGACCTACTTAACACAAAAAAAAGGAATGGAGTGACAAACATTTAGTAGAGGTTGTCAGTTGTGTTAATAACTGTTTTTAAATTTTCTAATTATATTTTAGAATATCGTTTTTTATATTTAGAAGAAATTATATTCCTTTATTTTATTTAAAATAAAACTAGATTTGATCTCCAATGTCATTTGAACTGCATACAAAGAGATTTATGTATTGATTTGTTTACTCTTGGTGAGGCATGACAAGATTGTTGCCAAAGTTCCATTTCATTAGTTGATCCTGCTAGCTTCAAAGGAAAAATGCAGTTTGTTTATTTTACGCTACTACTAATCAATGGATTTTTTGGGAACAGTGAAGCTCAAAAACTAAAACAGAAAAATTGAAGAAGTCTGTGCCATTCACTAAATTAATTAAGAAGCATTCGTTTATGCCATTGTGCGTTATGCCATCTGTGATTGAACCAAAAGCCCTTAAAGAATTAGATTATAAAATGGATTCTGTAATCAATGTAATTCCTTCAATATTTGCAGTGTTCCTGTAGTTGCAAAACATTTAAAATAACTCAATTTCCAAAAAGCAGAAACACCAGCAAAGACCATGTACAGTACAAGCTAGGCTTGATGGACATAATATAGACACTTGCCTTTGAATGTCCACAAAATCTGTCACTGTATCACTCTGTAGCTCTTCTGGAGAACCATCATTTTCTTAATTAAAAGGTGAAAAAATTGCCTCTGACCAACAGCAAAGGAAGGTAAACTAAATGCATTGACATCTTTAGCAATGAAGAACAAAGTTTATAGCATCCTGTCATTTTGAAGGAAGATATTGAAGAGTTTGCCAGGAGAAAGGTGTTTTAAATTGGGTGAAAATGACCCAATGGTTTTGTGAATCTTGTATAATGTAGTATCTGTATTCAATTATTTCCTCATTAAAACCACCACAAATTCCATTTTACTTACAGCTACCTGTACACTACAATATAGCATTGTTTGAGCATTTGGTCTGCTTGTTATTTATTTCAACTGAGAAAATGAAAGATTTGATAAGATAATTTATGATATATATTCCATGAACAGTAACCTAAAACTTCAAATTAAACAATTTGAAAATGTGGTAGAATAAGCAGTAGAGACTAATACACTGTACTTCACATGTTTTTGGGACTTCTATAACATTTTTTGTATCATAACAGAAGGTGGGGGGGGCAAAATGCTTATGGACATGAAACATTTTTCTGTAAAACATCAAAACCTGCTCTTTGGCATTGTGGAAAAATTGTAAATCAATTAATATTCATTCTCCTATATTCTCATAGAAAGACAATTTATTGTTCTGATTTTTCCCCTTTTTGTTTTTTGAACAGGTTTCTGCACAAAGTAAGATCCTTTTACTGTATTTTTGATGCATTCAGACAGAAACATCTTTACCTGCACTCTTTTTTCAGAGCCTGCATTTTATTTCAATGTGTTTAAACGCAATATGTTTTAATAACGGCAGCATGCTGGTGCTGGTGAGAACAGGGGGCACTTAGTTCAGTTCCTGGAGTGCTATCTGTGGAGGGTTTGTATGTTCTCCCTGTGTCTGTGTAGATTTTCACGGTGTGCTCTAGTTCTTTCAGTCCAAAGAAATGATGACAAGTTATTTGTCTTCTGTAAATCTTGTTTCTGCTGTATGTGTATCTATGTGTGCCCAGTTCAATAATGTCCCATTTTGTTCAAATGCAAATACATACATATTTATAAAGTGATATACTTAATTAAAACTTGAATGCTCAAAATGAATATTTTATGGATGAAAGATGTAAAATTTCATCAATTGATTCGGAGTGTTTTCACCACCCTGCCCGATTCATACTTGGTAAAGCACCTTGTAAGAGTGTTCAGTTTGAACATTCAAGTATTGATTACAATATTCACATCATTTGCAAGGCATGGATGTTTATGCTTTTTATGTCTTAAAATGTATGTTTTTAGATTATATAAAACATTTCTAGGAAATGAGAAATTGAGACCTTGGCTGTAGAGTATTAAAAGAATTGTTTTGCTTATTCAGCAGGAAAGCCAACAATAATGGAAATCTGGGTGGTAGCCTTCTTTTTTCATTCTTTAACAAGTGAAGTCACCTATTAGTTCAAAATATAACAATAGCAACACCTGTAATCCAATCACCCTTCATCACCATGGATTATCTAAATGCCAACAGTTCTTAAGCAATTCCCCATCGGATCTACAGTAGTAACTTGCAGAAAAATGCAGCTGCACTAGAGGGAAGCCACATTCCATTTCATAACCTTGGAACCCTCCTTCTGAATCCCTTAAAAGTGCAATGAGACTGAAGAAAGAGACAATGTACTCTTAAAGGTTATTTAGTTTTTATTTTACTGTTGGTAGCAAATCCATTCTTCTTTTCTAGGTTCATCATTAGCATATTATGCAGAGCTCATCATGGAAGGAGAAGCAGCCTCAAATATCACGGCTTTCCTAGCATCACTTTCGGATGGTTTTCCAATCAACTTAACGGATATCTCTATAATTTCTCTTAATGTTACAACAGGTAAAATAAACACATACATCACATTTTTATAAATTGTAAATGTTGTTAATTACTTCAGTAATATATACAGTATATATATATAATGAAACACGTAATAGGTTTATTCCCTGCTGAAAAGAGAAGAAAGAAAACACAAGTTTTGGCTGTGGAGCCTTCGGGTGTCTGAAGAAGGCTCCACATATATATTATATACTATGATGGGATGTAAATGTATTAAATGATTTGTTCTTTTTGGTGTTTAATTTGATTAAATTTTTCAAAAGAACTATTTTACTGTATAAGCATAAGAAAGGTTACAAACAAGATTACAAGAGTATTGACTCCATATAGGTTGTTTGATTGCTAGTAATCGATCCAAGGATTACATTTAGACTTTGACAATTGGTAGATTGTTCCAAACTCCCACAAAACATTGTCCTGTTCCCGGTTTTGCTTTGCAGAATACACTTTCCTATGGCTTCTGACTGTCTCGCTGTCTTCTTGTAGCCCCTGGTGTGTGTTACATTGTTGATACTGAAGAAATTCATTGAGTTGTCTTTGTGAAAGACTTCAAGAATTTTTCACTTCAAAACAGGTTCCCTCGTAATCTTCTGTGATAAAGACTCAGATTCAGTTATTTTACCCTGTAAAACTCTAAGATTTATTAAGTCCAGCAATACATCTATTTGATTTAAAACCCTGCCGATTTAAAATGTAATTTCTTTAACACTAATACATTGATTTAAAAAATATCAACAAACAGGCTGTTTGGTTTCTAATTCAAAATCTATCTTGCACTGCTTAAATTATACTGGAGACCAGAAATACTAGAACTGCTTCAGTAAATAAATTTATATTTGTACTGTTTCTTCCTCCACCAAAGAAAAAACAAAGATTTTACAAGGAATTGAAAAGCATACTGTACATAAATTAGTCTTTTTAAATCCAAACATCCAATAGGTTTATGGTAACCAATTCCATGTCTCTTGAAACATTTTTTTAATTAAACAATGAGTAAGTAATTAAGGCACAGAGAATGTGAATAAGGTTTATTAGCACAGGTAAGGGAATAATTGGAATCAAATGATTAAATAATTAGGTAGATCTTTATGTAATCATATGTAAAGATGTCATTACAGAAATATTCTGTCTGAAGTCTGGTCTTCATCACCATCACAAAATGTGGAATCAAGTCTTGTCAAAATCTAAGGAAATCTCTGAAAAAATTGGTTATTGATACTCTTCTGTCCAGAAAATATTACAAAACCATTGTAAGAAGCTCCACCAATCTATTGCCAAACAGATTTTATGGAAAGACCAAAGTCACTCTATACAGGATCGGTCATCCTACCAAAATCTCCCAAAGGAAAAGCTGAAAAATCATTAAGGAAGTTAACAAGAACCCCAGTTTAACATCCATGGAACTGCAAGCCACTCTCACATTGTGACTGTTGACAACTATCAGTAAATGAATTAACAGGAATGGAGGATAGCAAGGACAAAACCACTGCTCTCCACTATGTACATTGCATCCATTCTGATGTTCACCAAGGAGCACATAGGTGATCCATAACGTTTTGGGAACGATGTTCTCTGGAAAGATGAGTCAAAGGTCTTTGATTCTTTGGCCTCAAGAAAACCAAACACTGCTTTCAAAGAAAAGTGTTTCATCCTAACCATGACCCTGAAGTGAATATGCAGTTATGTGAGGATCACTGCATGGTCAAATATAGTGGTAGGATTGTGACAGTTCGGCATTGCTTTGGTGCCTCAGTACCTGAATGGCTTGTCATCATTGACACAACCTTGAATTCTGGATAGTATCAGAAGATTGTAGACAGAAAGTCAGGTCATCGTACATAACATGAAGCTGAATTGAAAGTGGGTCTTGAAGCAATACAGTAATCCTAAACAAGCAGATACAAACAGATACACAAAATGGTCACAGAAGAAGAAAGTCTACATTTTACAATGATCTAGTAAAAAAGTCCAGACCTACAAATCATCATAATGTTGTGGCAGGATCTGAAAATAGCTGGCAGGCCACAAGGCATGTCAGAGTTGAGCTCTGTAAGGAGGTATGGGTATGGAACAAGAAACCTCTAAACTGATGCGAGAGACTGATTAATGGTTGCAGGAAATATTATGTAGCAGTCAAGAAAGTTGCTCAAGGGTGTGCTGCCAGTTATTGAATCTAAAGGTTCATATACTTTGTCATACATGGATATGGAATGTTGCATCATTTAAAGATATATATATATACTTTGAAGAAGCATGATGTTTTCTGTCATCTGTTCTGTTAACTTTATCTATTATTGGGACGTAATATACTAAGAGGTTCACAAAACTATTGTCAGAACTGTACAAGAATATGAAAAACAATTGTAGTTTCATAAATAAAATTTTCTTTAATTATAATATACAATAACAGTATGTTTACATTTGACAAAATGGGGAAATATACATTTCTTGAAAGACTTTACAGTACACTAAATTCCAATTAGTTTATATATTGTAATACAACTAAGAATAAAATGTGGATGCCAAATTACATTTACAATATTATGTTGGTGTAATATTTCATTTTAAACAGCATCTGTTGAAGGGGGTATTTTTTATTTTATCCCATTAAGAGTATAACCTCACATAATATTCATTCTCAAATGTAATTATTTCTACCTGATGTGTACAGTACGTACAGTATATGTAAGTAGATATGTTGCCTATTAGAAGATTAACAAGATTAACTTATTTAATCCTTGAAAGATATATATCTTGCTTATGATTATTAAGTCATTTAACATTATAGTAAAATACAATTCTTTGCAGAATGTGACATCAATGGAGAAACAGCAAACTGTAGCTGTAATAACAATTTCATTTGGAGTGGTTCTGTATGTGATACTAACCCTGAGTGTTGCAACAATGACTACTGCATTGTGGCAGCACAAAACTCAACGCCAATGTGTGTGCCTATGAAGAGGGGTATGTAGAGTTATTCTTTCTGTGAAAGGAATATTTTCTATTAGTGGGTAGATACCGTTTAAAGGAGATGTATGAAAAATGACAGTTCATCACACAATGTATAATGAAATACATAAGCAGTAATTGGCTATTACATTTCATGTTGCTTGTTTAACCTGATTCAAGTTATCAATGCATAAAATCTAACACAAATATTAATTTAAAAATGAAGTTGTTTATACATGGCACAGTAGTATACTGTGGACATGACAGGCCAGTTCATCTGCAGGTTTTCAAAATTTTGTTAATGTATTTTATACCTGGAGATTTGGAAGTTGCTAAATCAAACCAATAATTAACTGGTTCATTAAGAGCTGAGTTGGCTTAAAAACATGCTGAGACACTGGTACTCCAGAACTACAATGGGGCCACAATGTTATACACTAATAAGTTTTATGATTTACAGTTAAGCTTAGCTTTGTGTTGCTAATACTAATTGCACCACAGAATAATGGGCTTACAAGATAAGTCAATTTGTCAGGACAGCTAAAATTCAACATACAATTCTTGTACAGTGTAAGATCTTACTGTTTAACCAAGAGAAAAGAAACATTCTTTATTCATCTTCTTTGTTTTTTGAAGGATATTTCCCCAGTTACGTTTAAAGGAATTATTTTCATTCATCAGTTACAAGGGGAAGCAGATCATTGATGCAATGTTGTATAATATTTTAAAAATTACATGTGTTTCTTTCTTGAGCTAAGAGTTTAAAAAAGTGAAAAAGTGAACATTCTTGTAAAAAACTATGGCAGCTTATTAGCACCACGGAAAAAAAAAATGTAAACTATATAGTGTTACATTTCAGCAAGAAACTTATTTAATTTATGCAATACTTGTGAGGTGAAAACAACATGCATTTAACCCAAGAAAATTCAATCACAGGATGTTCCTTTAGCATTAATTCTTTTGAGTGTGGTGGTATTCTTCTAATGTTAAAGTCAATGCTATTTTTCATAGAACAATATTATTGCATATATAATCAAAGATATTAATATAGCAGGCAATATTGTTCACAAAGTAACTATCGCATTATAGCACAAAATTATCTCTTATAAGTGCACAAGTTTTCTAATTTAAATGTAATACTATCTTGTGTAAATGCAATACCTTTCTCAATTAAATGCAATTCCCTCATTTTTTTTGCTGTGGCGTTAATAAGCTTCCGTAATAAACAGACTTTTTTTTCTTAAAAGATTAAATACTTTATATAAATAATCCACTGTTTTTTTTTATTTTTACTGTTTCAGTCATTGTAAGTGGGCAGATGACATTAAATAAAACCTATATTAGTGACCTACAAAATAAAACTTCTTACATCTATATCAATATGTCTGCAAGCATTTCTGCATTGGTAAGTATGCAACTTTATAACTATCATATTTATTTTTTGTGTATACACAAATTTTACTTACTTTATGCACAGATCCATTCACACCTTATCAGAAAGCCACTGGTAGGGCTCACAGCAACCTATCCCAGAACCTTGGTTATACAAAATGATCCAACAGTAAACAATTAAAACTATTAAACAATCCAAATATATCTGCTGCCTTTGTGTTTTTTTTATCAAGTTATCTCTAACTTTTAATTGAGACTTTTATAGAGCTAACTTTTAAAGTTTTAAGTCTAAAATGTGAATATACAGACCAACCTCAGGAGGCTTTAAACATTTTCTCAGTACTATAAATAATTTTGTACATCACACAAAATTATCTACATGTACATATACATAATATTCTGTATAATACTCTTCACCCTGGAGATTTGCTTCTAGATATTGTAACACATAGATCTCCTCTATCTTAACAGTAATTAAAGAAAGTGTTTCAGGTGGGTATCTGCATCAGCATGTGTAGGTTGCAAAGGAACAATTAATAGGTTTATTCCATGCTGAAAAGAGAAGAAAGAAAATACAAAGTTTCGGCTGTGGAGCCTTCTTTGGGTGTAAGAAAGATAGATTGCCTATCTTTCCTAAACCCGAAAAAGGCTCCACAGCCGAAACTTTGTATTTTCTTTCTTCTCTTTTCAGCATGGAATAAACCTATTAATTGTTCCTTTAAAGAAAGTGTGACAACTACAGTATGTCCATCTGATTATATTGGTACCAGTACTAATAATAATGCTTGAAAGAATCTCTATGTACATATTTTATATTTCAGCTGAAAGAAGCTTACAGCACACTGAGTGGCTTTGACACTTTGAAAATAATTGGTTTCAGGTAAACATTTTAAAATCATGACAATGCCATTGTTTTATTAATTTCATTACTTTGAGTCACATGTTTTTCATTTTCTCTTTTTCTCTATTTAACATAAAAAATGAACAAAAGACAAGGAAGCATCATTGTTGATTTTGAAGTGTATTTTAATGCACCTCTTACAACAGAGCAGCTTGCAAACAAGACAGAAAATCTGCAAAACACTCTAAATGCCACTTTTATCCTTCAAACAACAGGTAAGCACTCTAAAACATTTTTTAAAATTGAAAAAACAAGCTCGATTAAACTTTTATTCTTATATTTTAACACATATTCTTGTGATTGATATTTACTCAATGGTTGTATTATTCTTATACCTCTTATTCTTAATAGTTTAACACTTGTAATTATCATTCAACTATCAAATTAATACTCAAAAGTCAATTGGGTAGGTAGTTCAATTTTCTGCTGAAGCTTCTAGCTTGGCTGGCTTTGACATAGATGGCAATCTTCTTCAGCTGGCTGGAGCTGCACCAGCAATGTCCTGGGGCTCAGAGGGAGAGAGAGAAATATTTATTTTGGTGCTTGATTTATTGACCAACCTAAGTTAGTGATCAATTGAACTTCACTTTTTAAACCAGTCTATGAGAAGTGTCTGACTTGAGTCCAACCAAAGATGAGACACTGATGAATATTTCTTCTAATATTGAAAGAAGAGAGAGTCAGTTCAGCTGCAATGTTTTGGAGGATAATTTTAAGATAATGAATTTTGTTTTACTATAGTTTAAAAAGAGTAACAACATTGGTTATATTCACAAAATCTTTCCAGTTGCTCTTCATTAGATCAATTGTATTAGATCTGAAGTTCCTAGTAATATATATACAATAAATGCTAATGGTCCTTCATAAAAAAAACCTAGGAGCTTAAATCCTCATTCGTTCTTAATTGAAACTGTTGAAAAGGAGAAATAATAGAAAGGTGAACATTACCAGGATATAGAGAACAGATAAATGTAATAAAACTAATTTTAATTTGAACTAGGCATGGAGTTCCATAATTAAGTAATATGGAACAACAATAATCTCTATCTAGCATAGAAACCAAACACAAGGCAAAGGCAAATTATTCCCTTAGGAATTGAAAAAAATCAAGAAGCTTGGTGTGTTCTTATCGCTTATATTCTGGATTGCAGGAAAGTAGGCATCATCTTTAAGGTTTCTTTGATGTGAGGTGCAGTGTGAATGAGGCTTTCAAACTTATTCAGCATTTCTGTGGAGTGAAAGTGAAAGGTCTATCTGTCACAAGAATTTTCATCCCCTAACCAAGTGATGATCAGTCACTACTTGCTTGTGGCAACCATACTGGTTCATCCCATGTACCAGAGCCGCATGAGGCTTTTTCTGCCACCTCTATCATCTGTTGGACCGCTGACTTTCTGTCTTTGCTGCTGATCCCCAGCTCTCCTAACATCCTCCAAAGTGACTGGGCTGGGAAACCGCAGCATCCTACCTCAAATGGAAATAACCAGGCTTTCCAGCTTTTGCTTCTGATGTTGTCCACAAAATCATCATATCTTGCTATTTTTCTCTCAAATGCTTCTTGGCACATTTCTTCCCAAGGAACTGTCAGTTCAATGAGGATTATAACCTTTCTCTGGGAGGCCGACATGACTACATCAGGTCGCAAGTTTGTCTGAACTATGTCTGGAAACACAAGTCACTTGTCTAAGTCGACCTCCATTGACTAATCTCTGCTGAAGTGTCTTTGAAGGATGCCGTCAGGTCTAGCTCCAGCTAGTATTGTGCTCTTTTCTCCAGCTAATGTTAGATTGTGCTAATTGAGGTTTTATACCTTTTCTAAATTCATCCAGGTTCATGGCTAGTGCCCTGAGTACCTTATCGTGACGCCATTGATACCTGCCTTACCCTAATGCCACACTGCAAGCTGATAACACATGTTCAAGGTTGCCTGTTCTTTCACACAGTGTGCAGCTGGGGCTTTCTGTTAGTCTCCATCTATGGAGAGTACTTGAAGTGGGAAAGACATTGTAGACTGAATGTAATTGAAACCAAATCCGCAAAGGCTCAAGTTTCCAAATGTCACTCCATGCTAGCTCTCTATTTGTTGTTTCCCATCTAGTCCAAGCTCTCTGTTTTCCCAACTGTATAGCTTTCAAACTGCAAGCCTATTCTTCCTTCTTTTTAGTTCTTCTTGAATCAAGCTGCTCTCCTTCATTTCTTTTTATACTTACTTGCATAGCCCAGACCTTGACGACCAGCAGTTGTCTGTCCAATATTTTTTTGGCTTTCTGCAGATACCACTTCCTGATCTAGTCTGTACTGTATTCTTGCTTTTCTAGTTTTTCATCTTTCAAGTCATGTAAAGCTACTGCAAGCCTGACTTTTGTGGCATTGAACTCCTCGACCAAGGACGAAAGGAAGCTGTAACTTTGAGGATCTGCTGTAGAAACTGTGGCTAGTAAAGCTAGGTGGAACCCCTAGCCAGTGGTGGAGAAAGCTGTTTACTTTCTCCAAAAATTCAACTGTGGTGGTTGCAATTTCATGGAGCATCATTGGCCACAGAAGCCTTGACAATAATCCACGTTGATAAAGTCAAACCTTAAACTTGCCTGGTAAACCAGTTCTGTCGATCAACCTCAATCCCTCTAGTGTCTGTTTCTCTACTTCCCTTGTATTATTTGTATCCTTTAGGGTTGCATTTAACCATTTCCCTAGGCACTTAATTCTTTCTGCTGTTATGGAGAGCAAATCCTTGCACACTAAGCACAAACCTGTCAATGATCTTTCCTCTCTTGATTACTAATGATCTTGATTTCTGGGGCTTGAACTTCATCCTTGCCCACTTCACAGCTGTATTCAGGGCTCTTAAAACCCATTTGGCTTGCACTCGTTTAGTGGTTGTTACTGTTAGGTCATCGATGAATGCTCTGATTGATGGTACTGTGATGCTTGAGTTCATCTTGGGCCCTCTGGACTCTTGTGCACTTCCAATGATTAGGTTCATGGCCATCAAAAATAAGGTAACTGTAATTGTACAGCCAGTCACAATTCCATTCTCAAGTTATGGAATTTCCTACAGAGAAACTCATCTTTATATTGCTCAGGTACCTTTTGATTATGTTCTGTATATTTCCTGGAATGAAATAATGCTTCTTCAATCAGTTTGTGAGGCAATGAACCATAAGCATTGGCAAAATCAAACCACGCAACTGCCTTGTTGCTGCTTTTGCCTCCCTGATCAGTTGCTTATTACACTTGTGTGCTCGATGCACCCTTGAGACCCTGGAACACCACCTTTCTGCACTGAAGTGTCTATGTAGTTGTTTCTTGTCAGGTATATAATCAGCCTATGAGACAGAATTCCAAAAAATATCTTCCCCTCTACTTTTAAAATAGATATTGTTTTTAACTGATTTATTTCACACAACTCTTTTTCCTTTGGCCCAAAACAACCTTCTGCTTCCTGCCAACATAGAGGGATCTTTCCTTGCCTCCAAATCACCTATAGGAGCTTCCATAGTCCATACAAAAGTTTTGGACAGCTCTTGTAAACTTTGTACAGCACTCCATTTGGTCCAGGTGCCAATTTTTCTGACTATGTCTTTAACTTCCTTTAATGTAGGTTCACTTATATTCATCTCAAACATGGGTGGGTCTGATTTCTCTATATGGGGGCCCTGCCCTAGGTCTTATTCTCTTTGACATTCATTATGCGCCTCTGCTACGTACTTCTCTACTTCCTCTTTACTTGCCTTTAAACTTGTCTTCACCCCTGGAAGGAGGGATTTTGAAAAGTTCAATGGATTTTTCAAGAAAGCATTCCATTTTCTCTCTTATTCTTTCCTTTCCTTCCTCGCTTTTTCTGCCCTTCTGATACTTTTCAATCTATTCCTTTGTATATTTCTTCATTCTTCTAGTCCTTCCTTTTCATCATCCATTGCTTGAAGGTATCGTTTCTTCAGATTTTTTGTCTTTTTCCTCAAGTTTGTAATCTCTGATTTGTTGCTTGCTATTTATTAGCCATCAACAAAGACATTCCAAATTCTTGTTTACCAGGGATCTGACTGGTTGATTCAAATCTGAGATTCAAATCAACCTTTTGATTGCTCCTTCTTTTGAGATCTTGACAAACTGCTCTGTATTTTACATGGTTAAAACTTTTAACCTTTTATGTGTGATTCTCACAGTTTGACTTTTAGATTTCTGAACTACAGTACTCATGTTCAGATGGTCCAATCATCTGAAACTCCTGTCTCAAACACAGCACCTTAGTCTTGACATAAGTAAGGACAATCAAACTATTAAGTGGAGCATCAGGAGACACAGAAGTGGAGGGATCTGTTTCTCTCACAGACTCTTCTGCTGGTAACAGTAAAGATCCAATAACATGGTTGGGCTGGACAAGGAGTGTCAGGATCAAAGAGTTTGCGGAGACTTTTCACTGGGGAAACAGACAAGTAAACTTTGGGAGGCGAAGCTCCAAGTAACAAACCCATGGAACAATTGCTGAGTTTCAGTTTTTCATCTTGATCATCTATGTTCGCTTGCTGTTCTTGGATGAAATCAGCTGTAGCTTTTTTGATGTGAAAATGTGTAGTCGGGGGCAAACAGGACTTAACCTACTGGGATTCCCAAAACTCCGGTCAGAGGGAGTGTTGTAATACTCTATCCAGGGAAACTCCAGAGCCAAAGGATAATATTCAGTTTGCATTTGTCCACTGCTAAAAAGCAGACACTTTTCTTCTTTTCTTGATTAAATATTAGTAATAGCAACATACTGTATATCCAAAGAACAGTTTGCAGTGCTAGTTGCTAACAGTTATATTGTTTAATTGTACTGATGATATCACTCATTTCCAAACCTTGTCCTGTAGGCAAACAGATTTTTATTCCAACTGAGCTTTCATAAATAATCAAACACTTATTCGACATAATCATAGGAAATCTGGAATATATTGCATCTGATGAAGATTTTAAAATCTAAAAAAAGTAATTTTTGTGTAAGAAAGAAAAAATCAAAATTCCCAATGAAGAAATCTGTTAGTTTGAATTAAGCTGGCCAAAACAAAAAGTAGCTCAGGTATGGGCCTCCAGGGCTAGGGTTGAGAACTTGTAATGTGAAGTATATAATGTATTATACATTAAAATGCATTTAACGATTTATCTTTGTTCTTATTTGACAGGAATTGTGACTATTAATGCACCACAAAGTCGTGTAAAGTATATGTCACAACAAAATCTGAACTGTGCAATTAGTGAGAATATGAATCAGGCATCTTGGTCCTTGAAAAAAGAAAACAAGGACCTAATTGATGTTGTAGATGGGACTGAAAGCAAAATAACATTTGGAGAAAACTGTCTGTCCCTTAGCCTAAGTAATGTAACAGAATTCTGGAAAGGTATGTACAAGTTGGACAAATGTATGTTTTCCCAAATCAGGTTGCATTTTAACTTATTTTAACAGGTAACAGTAACAACAATCTCTAGTAAGAACAAAGCATATATAGTACATTTAATATATCAAATGAGTGCTAACATAGTTTCTAATATAGAATCGTTCTTGGGTAAATATTAAATCAAACAAGTCACTATAAATAAAAGTTTATTAATGCTGTATAGCAAAATACAAGTAGCTGCCTATGCAAACACACATGATAATATTTTGTACCGTCTTAATAGATAGATACTTTATTGATCCCGTGAGGGAAATTGCAATGTCTATAATGATGTCTATTAGTCTTGTTTGTTATTGTTATTTATAGAATGGTTGTGCCACACCAACTACACCAGAGTAAATTCCTTGTACATGAAATGTACTTGGCAAATAAAGGTGATTCTGATTCTGAATCACATTTTCTTTTCAATTCACTCTTTATGACATTGCTAATTTAAAATTAGGCATAAAGGAGATTGATCAAGGATTTAAATTTAAATTTAATTTATTTTAATTACCTTATGTTTGACTTTGGTTGTGTAATTTTAGAGAAACATTAATTTAAATGTTAGTTATATCATCAAATATGGTTCAGTCTAGAAGGTACACATTTTCTTGAGAAGCAGTTTAGTCGTTTTTAAAAATTCTAAATGAAAAACAATTCAAATGTTTCTGCTTCTTTAGGTTGGTTATTCATTTTACAGCAAATAAAAAATAAAAACACTTGACAGGATTCAGATTTTAATACTCAAACCAAAAAAGAATAGGGGCAATTGCAATGACGTGTCAAATTTAATATGCAGCTCCATATTGAGTTGCAGACCTATGCGGAGAGGAAGATAGGATAATTCAGAAATTAATGACAGCTACAGTATATTGTGCAGTATCTGTCACCAACATATAATTACTGTATCTTGCATTCCTATTTAGGAATGTTTTGTCACATAGTATGTCTCTCTGTCCTTTTTCCACCAGCGTTGAATCACTATTTATGTGCCTTTTACAAGTGGTAAGGACTTGTCCAACCTTCAGCCCCTGAAATTTTCATAGAGAAGATCCATATTTTAAATAGTGTAAAAGTGATAGTGAATTGGAAGGTATTAAATAGTAGGACCTGTATTCCACAAAGCTTCTCATATGAAATCAGATCTTTGTATTTCTCCTGGATTGCATCTCTAGGTTTATAGACATATTCTGCTTGTTAGTGTATGAGATAAAGGATTCAGCTTTACTGATGTACTGTACAGTACATGCATGGGGAAAAAAATCTGTCCTTAAAAGGACAAAAAATCCCAGAGGCAGAAATTTCAAAAATAATTATGGTGTTTTCTACTGTGTGTAATAGATTATTTTTTAATTTTTCGGTTTTTACAATTTGAAAGTTTTTAGAACATTAAGTTTTCATTTTCTGATTTGCCTTTATGATGTCATTGAGAATGCTTTTTTTCCCTCTTTTTGAATAATTTAAACAAGGAACCTACTTCTGCAACTTTACAAAAGGAAATATTATCAACACAGCCAGTGCAAACCTTGATGTAGCACTATTGCCAGCTGCAATTGAAACAGAAGTAGAACCACAGAATCCAGATTGCTCTCTATCAGGCGGGGTATCTATTAAAGTGAGATGCAATATCCAAAATAGCTCAGAGAATTACACAGTTTTATTTTATGACCTCCACGGTGTTATTCTTAAAAATAATCAAAAAACATCTGAAGGTAAGAATGTTCTCTGTTATCTTTTGGTGCATTTGTACATGAGTACATGCTTTTACACTGTATGGGTTGTTATTTATGTGTATGATGTGATGTAACATGTAAGATGGATGGGGTTTTATTTTAATACAAATTATTTACTAAACTACTCTTTCTTATTATAGATTTATTTTTGCAGGTTGTTTAACATTGTTTAATCTGAAAACATAATACTCAGGGTCCCACACAAATATCTGTATACACAGGAATGCAAAGCTGCAGTACTGTGACTTCATACTTCATACTCCGTTGTTCAATTCTGTTAATGATAATAAAAATATATATATATATTATTTTGTGTCGTTATGTTGATTATATCTAATAAAATTAATTAAAATAACAAGGAGTGCAAGGATATATTGTTTATATGATGAAAGGATATATTGTTTAGTCTAATGTATTATATTTAGTCTAATGTGTATTGTATAAACAATATAAAATATATTTTTAGTATAATGTGTAAAATGTGTAAAAAATAACATACAGTAAACTCCCTTGTATCCCATAATCATACATCTGGAAACATCAAGCAACCAGAAAAAAAATCAAAAGAATTAATAATAAATAAAAAGTAAACAAAATAAAAATAAAACATATTCTCAGACATATCGTAAGTTTGAATCCCACGTGCAGCACGTTGTTCTGCTGACCTCCCACGAGTGCAGCCAGTTTTATTATGTTACTGCTTCATCAGTCTTTTATCAGCAAACCCTTCTCCTCTGTTTCTTCCAGATATAAAGGATATGTATTTTTGAGCCTCGTCATACAAACTGATGCTTACACATCCCACATTTTCTGTTCCCATAACAGGAATGCTCTGTTTATTTTTATTGTGATTCTTATTGTAACATAAGAGAAATTTTGGACAGTACTAAACAGCCATGTGGTTTTTTGAGGGGTACTTAATAATGGATAATTGATCCATTCCTTCTACAAACCATCAGTACAAAAAATACTTGTCAAAAGATTATTGTGCATTTTATTTAAGAATGTGAAAAGCTTTAAACTATATAAAAACACTGGAGTGGTTATAAACGAAAGGAGGCCATTCAGCCCATCTAGCCCTTTTGGTGATGGCTGCCCGTTGTGTCCGTTTGAACTTTGTGCAGCTCATCTGTTTGGAAGATGAGCTGCATGAAGAAACCTTTGCGGGAGAGCTCTTTGAAGTGGGAAAGCCATACTGGGGCAGTCCCACTTTCTTGACCTCAGGAGCCTGGGTCCAGTGGTACAAGTAGTTGTCACAACTGGAGACTTCCTTGGTTGCAGTGGATAGCCATGATGCCTTTCTGTGCCTTGTCATGCCCTTCGCTTTCTATGTAGAGCTGCGACAGTATAGTGAACCATCACTTTACTGGGACATTAGGACCCACACAGACCGCAGGGTGAACACCTCCTGCTGGCCCCACTAACACCTCTTCTAGCAGAAACCTTAGTTTTCCCCTGGTGGTCTCTCATCCAGGTACTGACCAGGCTCACACCTCCTTAGGGTTACCAATTGTGAGCTGGAAGGTGATATGGCTGCTGGAAGGTAGTACTTAATTGTCTCATGCAGATGTTTTTTGAAAAAAAGCAGGGTATTGGTCTTACCAGGTTAGTTTGATCTATAACTCTCACAACCCTTCGTTAAAAGCATTTCAGTGTAGTTAGCTGGCTCTAAAATATATTGTATTTCACTATTTCTACAAGAAACAGCTAACAGGAGTGGGCTGCAGATTTTATCTACAGATTGTACAGATGCATCCCAAGTGTATTCAAAATAGATTGGTAGTTGTTGCCTCAGTCTTGGATTGCAGTCAGTTGTGCAGGAATGACAGGATAATAATGACAATAATAATAATAATAATAATAATAATAATAATAATAATAATAATAATAATATGTCCTATTTAGTAATAAATACAAAATAAACAAAATACACTTCCAATACCATTAATGTGTAGCGCCAACCTGAATGATGCGATTACTTCCAGAAGGGATCTTTCAACTGCCAGTTGGCTAAAAACATTGAAAGATTTATTTTCTCCAGCTTTACAGATAATGAATAAATATGAACATTGTATATGTGAAAATATATGCAATATTTTACATTTATTGATATAACACATAATAATTTTCATTAATTTAATCACATTTTAATTGATAAATATTGAAAAATAATGTATACACTCGCATTTCTTTCACTTCAGTGTTTAGCTATGGATAATCAGGAAGGCTATTGTACATTTAAAATACTCCTCTTTGTAAAGCAATGGGAAAGGTTTATTTGTGAATACCAAAAAACAAAAAATACGAGAAAAGTTGCCACTAATTGTGTGTATTGTCAATATGTACCCTTCAGAAAAAAAGGTCTTATAAATAAAATTTTATTGATGAATTTGTACAGCAAGAATCAAAAACTGGATTTTACTTTCTGATGGATACATCCTATGATTTGGGCACAGGAGTCTGTACCTTTATTGAATTTTAGGGAAGAAAATAAATCAGAAAATGCTCACACTTTACAATATAAAAATTATGATTATGATATATTTAGATACATAACTGGTGTTTTATCAATGTTTTAATATAGTAATTTTTTTTCTTTGTCATATCAAAATACTTCAATATAGCACACTGTATATTACAACACTAGTAAGACAAAATATCAACACCACAAAAAGACAATTTTAAACATTTTGTCAAAATTGTGTTATGGACTAGTTTTCTTACAAATACCATAATCACTTTCATTTTTTTTTTCAGATATAATCACCTATGAAACAGAAATTAATGATGTTTGCCAAAATAATACCAAGTTAGATAAAAATGTTACGTGTTCATTTCAAAACAATCTGTTTCAGAGCAAAAACCTAACTATAATAATCCCTGTGATGTATGGTAAGTTTTACTGTTTGTATCTCTCCTACATATTCTCTTTTAAAATGAACATCTCTATATTAATATTGGTGGATTCATGTTACATGAAAAAGAAAGTGCTTCGAATTGCATTGTCTTTTGGTAAGAACCAGAATCAGATCCAAGGTTAACTCCAGAAAGATTATTTTTGGTGTTGGCTTTTGGAGAGGCTCAGTTTATTGACACCACCTTGGATTGTCCTATTGTTGCCTAATTTTCAGAATGTGTGTGCTTTCTTTTTGTGGCACCAGTCTTACTATACTTTCACTGCGTGTACTTTTAATTCCATATCAGAGACTTTGTGGTTAAACACCAGGTAGTTGCATTATGTTGCTATGCTATGCTTTTAAAGTTGGTTTTCTGAGACTGCCGGAGGCTGGCTGGTCAGGTTTTGCTGATGGCATTAGCAAGGTGGTCCCATAAATGTACTAGTAAACTCAATACAGAAGGGAAAAAAATGACAATAACAGAAACTTAATGAAACATAATCACATAATGACAATATAAATATATTACATGATAATTACATGGAATTTCTTCAGTGATTACTTATTCTTAATCACTCATTTAGGCAATTGTAACTGAACACAAATATTATTCAATGAACACCTAGTGTTTTTATGAAATAACATAACTTTCAAAGTTAAATATTTGGTTATCCTAAGAAGCAATGCTATTCAATCAACAAACCTCTCACAGTTTAGAATGTAAATAACATCAGTATTCTATACGTATCATTGTATAATAGATTTGCTTGGAGTCTGGTACGCCATGTGAAACCTAATTCACATATTTAAAGCTGTTTTAAGTTTTATTACATTTCTAGCCTCTACCTTTGAATCTATTGTGAAGCTTTTATGCATAATAGGAAAAGCAGAATTGTCAATTATACAGTCATCGTTTTCATTCAATTTCAGTTTCATTCAAATGTAACAACTTGTTATGAAAGTAATGCCTGTATGTGAGTGTTAAATGTTAAATAACAAAAAAACTGTGTTCCCTTATTATAATAGATGGCACACAAAATTGCTCAGCAGATGAGGGTTGGCCAAAGACTAAGGCGAACTTTATATCAACACTACAATGTACTGGAGACAAAAAAGGAAACAGACAAAGAAAATGTACAGCTCCCAACATTTGGAAGGAGGAAGTGAAAAACTGTGTTAATCCAGCATTGTCCAACATGCTTCAGATTGCATTGGTATGTTTCTTTAAAAACTTCAAACTATAAAGATGTATAATTACAAAGGTATGTGTGCAACAGGAAAAATGAAAACAAACGAGTCTGATGTCTTAATGTAAAGTGTGCAAATCGTTAAAAATACCCACAAAGGTTTACTACTGTTTCATTTGTTATTTGATGACCTCATCAAGAATTCCTTTTTACAGCATTCTACACTCTCTTTTAATTCAAGATATAAATATAAAAATCTAAATTTATTTGTGATTACTTAGCAAAATCTGGATATTCATGTACAAAATCTCAACCAGTAAAATAAATTCTTTTGAAATCAGGTTCGACAACATCGATACAATCTTTTCAATATCGAGCATCAATTTACTGTTTTCCAAGGTGAATGCCTACAATTTGCAGAGTACCACTTTGTTCTGTTCTGTTACAGGAAAAATACAAATTGGTTCACAAAAGGAGATACTGTATTATAAGCACATGACAATCGGGCATATTGTGTTGCCAGAGGGTACTGGAGTAATTTGAAATTTATTGAAAGCTGACATGAATTACATAGAAAGTGCTTTTATAATTTACTGGGAAAATGTATCCACACAAACAAACTCAAGGAGCATCAGAGAACACCTACACAACACCTGCACTTTGGTTTTCGAAGTGATCAGACCACACATGTTTTCTTACTGCCTTAAGATGCCTAGGACTCATGGACATACAGTATGGACAAATGGAATCGTATGATCTTTAAGTTTTTATCCTAGTTATTTCAAACCATGCTACCAACACCCAGTTCTGGGATGTAACAACTTGAGAGTAATGCCTGTATGTGAGTGTTAAATGTTAAATAACAAAAAAAACTGTGTTCCCTTATGATAATCCCTAAATATCACAGTCCCAGTTCTACTGTGCTCTAATAAACTTGATTCAGTACAGTTGTATCGCATATATAATAATACAAAGAATATTGAAAAAATAAACACAATGGGCTTTACTAAGAATGAAAAAACTAACTCTAGTAAAGGGTAAGTTATAATATCATAACAGTGATCTACAATTTGAATTTATTAAAAGTATCAATAATTACTCAAATAAATTACTACGTTATTTGTTTTTATATGCAATAACTTGAATTATAGGGGGCAAAAACAATGCTTGGTTTTGAATTTACAGTATTTATTTCCTTTAAAACATACTTACTAACAATATCCTGAACTGAACTTGAACTTGAACTTTATTGCCATATGTAACCGGTACTGGTACAATGGAATTCTTACTTACAGAAAGTCTCTCGATTGTAAAACAAGTGTTAAAAACAAAACAAAGTGCAAACAGTGCATCAAGACAATGTACAAACAATAGACAATGTGCAAGTAAACATGCAGACAGTTTGAATGTAAACAATACAGACGTGTAAACAATGACTGGAGACGTACAATAAATAAATTACAATGAGGTAGATGGTGATGTTGTAGGTGTGTTCCGAGGGGGATGGCTAAATGTGTTCGCCAGTCTCACTGCTTGTGGATAGAAGCTATTGAAGAATCTAGTGGTAAGTGTCCGTATGCTCTTATATCTCTTGCCTGAGGGCAGTGGGGTGAAGAGCTCATGCCCGGGTGGTGACTGTCCTCTGTGATGGCCAGAATTCTACCACGGCAGCAGTCCTCATAGAGCTGTTTAATCTCGGTGAGACCGCAGCCGATGATCTTCTGGGCCATATTGACCATTCTCTGCAGTGCCTTTCTTTCATCGCGAAGAGGTGTTGCCATACCACACGGTGATCCCGTTGGTGGGGACGCTCTCGATAGTGCAGCGGTAGAAGTTCACCAACACATGTATTGGCATCCCCCATTGCTTGAGGCACCTCAGGAAATAAAGGCGCTGCTGAGCCTTCTTCATGATAAAGTCAGTGTTCACAGTCCAGGTTAGATCTTTAGAGATGTGAATTCCCAAAAACCTAAAGCTGGTGACTGTTTCCACTTCCGTTCCATCAATACTGAGTGGGCTGTGAGTGTGTGGTCTGTGTCTCCGAAAGTCCACTATTAGCTCTCTCTCACAATACTGTACATAGTAACACTATTTCTGAAATAGTTAACAGTTATGACAAAAATATTACTACAGAAATGCTTGTTTTGTTAGCCATGAAACAATAGCTTATTTTCCTCATAAGGTATTACCATAAGTTCTGCATTTGAAAAACCGCCATTTGCAGAGACCTAAAGGAACTTTAGTGTTTTAAAATTGCTGTTCCCAAGAGGGAAGGAATCATGATGTTTATCATTGAACGTGTTGAAATACGAATAGAACTCGTGAGTAGTTTTGGTTATATGTTATCGCATAAGGACAGCAAATTATATAAAGTAAATGTACTGTACTCAGCAGACACATTGTCTTTTGATGTTGACAAAACTGATTGCCTAGAACATGAAATAAAGAAATTAAAGCCTGTGTGGAACTGACAATGTCATACTGTACCTGACTTTGAAAACCTTCATTCTGAAAGGGTAGTCTTTATTATAAATATTCCTGTTCTCTACCCGTCCATGGTTACTGGATAAACAGAAATGATCTAACTGTTGTTTGATGACTTCATCTTCACATGATATACAAGTTAATAATTCTAGCAAAGCTTTCCAAAGATATTCCGAACATGATATATGAATGTCATTTGGCAGCGGAAAAATGGAAAAGAAGGGCCATGAGAGAGAAGGAAGGAGAGGTTATGAGCATGAATGCATATATTGCATACATGAATACAACATGCAAATTGTGCTTCACCTACAGATCATGACAACAACCACAGTTGACAACAACAGTCCTCATTTAGTGACAGAAAGACCCTACCAGCAATTAGATACATATTTGTTTGACTGAAATAGACAAGGTTGACATAAGGATGACCTTATGACATATGAGGATGAGGTTTTCACTAATATTTCTTTAGTGAGTTCAAATCATTTGCAACAGAATGAGTAGGTGCGTTCAATGACCTCTAATTATCATGATTTGTACAATCAATCCCTAATTATCCAAGATCAAAACACAAAATGTTATGTAACAAACACAAAATTGTTGTAAACAGAATGAACTACAAACTGAGTACTCTAACTTAAAAATTCTAGTAATGTCATATTCTAAACAAAATAACATTACACAGAGTAAAATCATATCCATTTAAATATAATTCACAAAAACTAATCAACAGTAACATTCTGCTCTTTTGAAATGCAATAGAAGCTTCAGAAATTATATTGAAAAAACAGTAATACTAAGTGTCATCATGGTTAAGGTCAGAAAGCACTTCAAAGACTGCAGGCAAATGGTGATTGACTTCCACAAGTGGGGGGAAGACACTAAACTTATTCCTAAAAAAAATGAATCTATTGCTTTTCTCTGTAGTGTCAATGTAAACCTACTGATTCAGTGACAAATACCTTGAAGTTGTGTGTGACAATGTTTAAGAATGTAACCATAAATCCAAAGGCAACAGCTATAGATCTTCAGTAACATACTTAAACCAATCACAGTGACACCACTGGTATTTATTATCTGCAACACTCATCTTAAGACAGAGCTTCTAGGCAACCTACTGTACCACCAGCTGTCACGCACAGTCCAAAATGTATGATTTCCCAGCTATGCAAATTATATGTGTGGCATTTTTAGTTGACCTGCAGCTGGATTTTCTACACTCTAGAAGTGAAGATATTTTTTTCTTTGAAAAAACAGGTTGGAAGGCAGCATTGTGGTGCAGTGATTATAATTACTGCCACTGTTGGGGCCCCAGGATCAGTTCTGGTTTGTATGTGCTCCCAGTGTTTGTATGGGATTTCTCTGGGTAAGTAAGTTTCCTCCCGCAATCCAAAGACATATTGGTACAGTAGGTTTATTAACCTTTGGGAAAATCTGCCTTGAAATCTACTGGCATACTGTGCATGGTGTACCCTGCCTTGTGCGCAGTGCTTGCTGGGATAGACACTTACTTACAGCACCCCAGAATTGCAAGAAGTGGTTAGGAAACTGATGGATGGAAAATAGGTTGGGGTGCACACTCCCTTAGTCACTCTCTTATGGAGACATGAAACAAAGCTGCTGGAGCTGGAGTATTAAAACTGGGGTAGGCTGTCAGAGAATCACATTGTGACTCTCTAGAAACGGGGAAAACCCTTATATTAAGAAATTGGTTACAACTGCCTGGAAGCTGGTTGCCCTGTTGAAAGACTTGGAGTATAGACAAGGGTTGTCTACTCGGGTTTTGGGTTAGATACTTGTAGTCATACACACATTGAGAAATTAGGTGAGATTGTTTATGATTAGTAGAAGGTTCCAAATGTGGTTCACAGACAGAGCGAGACTGGCCAAACAGTGGCTGGAATGAGGCAGTTGCCACTGCTACTGAACAAAGCCCATAAAGCATGTGAGAAGGTTATATTTACACCAGTGTTGGTCAGGTTGAGAAAGTTATATTTACATCAGTGTTGGTTACCTAATTCCTGCAAAATGGTGAATTGTATTGCGCAGTTTCACCATGCTACACAACCATTAAAGTGGGATCTTACAAGTAGGTATAATATTTTTATTGATTAACTGTTCTGTTTTATGTGAATATGGGAGAAGTCATAAGAAACACTAGGAATCCCATACAACAACAACAAAAAACTTAAACAGATGAGGTGTATTAAGTCTGATTGCTTTTAGGAATTAAAGGGTATTTGAAAGAAATGTATTCAATTTGAAAATGTGCATTTCATCACTATGAAAAACCCTAAGTACAAATCAGGTAATTTCAATATCTCATCCAGAGTTTACAGTTAAACGTTAGAATTAATGTTCCTTTGGGTTTCTGCAAATGGTGAATTTGTGAATACGGCATACCTTATGTTGAAAACAGGACATGGTTCTGCTGCTTGCATAACTGAATATTTCCAAGGCAATATTTTTAGTTATAAATGTTAGATATTTCAGACATTCTGTTACTTTTAATGAAAGTGAGTAGTAGAAATGTTTTAAAAGCATTGTAATCCCCTATAATTCAAATTAAAGTGCAAACAAACAACACTTTACTTTACACTGATTATAGCTTATGCTGTGTTAGAGTTATTTTTTCTTATTTTTCACAGAGTAACTTTGTTTACTTTTGACATTGTTTTTATTACTATTATCAATGCAGCACTGCTGTATGGTAAAACAATTTATTACAGCAACTTAACAACTGTCAAGAAAATAAATTGTGTATTTACTCCTCTCCCACTCAGCCAACTCACTCCTGCTATTCAATTCAATTTTATTTGTTGTTATACTTACACAGGTGCATAGCAAAATAAAAAGTGTTTTTCATTAGTCTCTCAGGTGCAGTATATACAGAACAGCAGACAAGACAATAGACAGTAAATACAATAACAATAACAATGTAAACAACGAGTGTGGTACCAGTATGACAGTACCCATATTTGTTAAAAACTGTGCAAAAGTACACAAGTCCTCCAGTCCACCGCAGTCCCTTCAAAGTAGATGGGAGAGTGGACTTTTCCTTGTCTCCTGAAGTCAACGTTCAGCTCTTTAGTTTTGCTGATGTTGAGACCTAGGTTGATTTATGATTTGTCTTATGATTTGTCTAAATCTCCCCCTTACAATTTATTTTCTTATCCTTTTTCATGATCCATGCAAGAACTGAGATTGTGATAACTTAGGGGACCACAGAGCTTTTTTTTGTTATTTAATATTTAATGTTTTTTTTTATTTTGTAGCATTAAATGAGTCACGTATAAACATTACTCTAATAACCAGTCTGCACATAATGTATACCTAATACATTTATGAAGGAAGCAGAATAACTAAAGCATTACCCAGGTTGAGTGAGATACACTTGATCCATGAAATTAAAATGCTGCGGAAGTAGGTGCTTGCGTTTTCTCTTCTATTGCACACCCCGTAAACAAGTGAATTATGACTGTGAATGTGGAAAAAGTGGTCACTAAACATTTTAGATGAATAGGGTAAAGTCATGAATATTGAACTCACAAATATTGAGGTTTATTATATTACTATATAACAATCCAAACAATTATCGGTCGAGAACTGAATGTACTGTACTTCAAACAGCTCAGGTTCATCTTTTCCTATCAATCTAAATCTATAATAGTTTTAAAGAACTATAATAGTGATTCAATAAGACTGCAATGAATCTGAAATCAAATAAAAATAGCACAGATCAAAACTACAAATTTCATATTGTGTGCGCTTCCAACATAAAACAATAGTAGAGTTATATTCAAACTGGAAAATGAAAAAATAAATGTGAGCATTTAATTGTAAAATGCAAACTGGACAAAAAAAAGATGGCACTACAATTAACTATTTTTCTTTTAATTATTAATGCATAATTGTAAACGGGAAATCTGTGCATAATGTATTTCTGTTTTGCTTGCAGAATCTACTAAAGGGACAGGGAGCAATTGCAAATATTGCGGAAACACTGTTTGATCGCCTAAAAAATACTACTGCGAACACAACATCTATTGACTCATATGCAGACCTAAAAACTTCAGTGGATATTCTTAATACTATATACAAGGTTTCTAACAACACAAATTCTACATTTGAGGAGCACCTTTTATTTGTAAGCATTTTCTATTTCACTTAATGATCTAAAATTAAATTGGAATAATAAGAACAGTAGTGCTTAAATAGCTTTCAAATACATTAAAAATGTAATGTTTTTACAGTCATTTTACTCCTAGTTGTGTACTTTAATCCTTTGTGCCACACATATCACATAACACATTATAGTCAAAATTTCACATATTTCAATTTGGAACAGGTAAATGTTTATTCTATGTTGAAAGGAAAAGAAAAGAGACACAATGTTTTGGCTATGGAACCTTCCTCAGGTGTAGAATAGTAGCTTAATTCTGTTTCTGACTCTTCTTGAAATACCTTTTCCATTAACACTATTGTTACAAATGGGGAGTTATGAAAATGGAGAAAATCAGAAGCTGACTCAGAGGATAAATCAGCAAGTAAATTAAACAGTCAAAGATGTTGCCAAGAATATACCAAAGTGGTTGTTAGAGTAGAGGACATGAACTCTTTGTTCTGTGGCACAGCTTTGGAGGAAGGAGTAATGATTAAGGCAATAGGGAGTCTGCTAGCAGAATCTGCATGTTACTCTTTACCCTGCTGAATTCACATGCTAAACCTTCACCCTTGCTTTAGCACACATTTCTCCCTCCCTGTACTGAACTCCCATCTTCTGTACTAAACTCCCTGATGGGGAATGTTTATACTAAATTCCTGATAAGAAATGAATGTTTAAGTGCTTTCTGAGTCCTGGAGTTTCTTGAAAAAGCTATTTCAAAGACAGGAGGGGGAGGGTGTAGAGAAAAGTATAGACAAAAGTGTAGAGTCATATCCCCTTTGAGCTACTATACATACTATAACTACTGTGGTCCTTATTGTGGTTCCTTGTATGCATAAAATAAAGCTTGGCTTAACGAACGGACACTTCAGGCTCGAATCTCTTGGTCTCTACAGGCATAAAGTGTTAAACAAATATTTATATTTATTAACAATGACAGTGGCACACACTAAACTACACTCAACATAAACGTGCAACACAAGTGTCACTATTTACAAATTTACAATAAAAAATAAGGCATCCCAGAGGCCTTTTCTAACCACCCAGAAAAAAACCCAGATTGCTACCAAGTTTTTTATGCCTAATAATAGGCATAATGCCTCCAGAGGCCAAAAGAAGAGATAGACTGCCTTCTAAACTAAGTATAATACAACCTGCAGAATTAGGGAATCTGTCTCCCTATTCAAAAATGCACCCACAAACCAGGACAGGCCGTCTTTTACCAAGGGTGTTTCCTAATAACAAAGTTCAAATACTTAGCTCCAATCTGGTCTTTTTGGGTGGTCTGGGACGAGGTGCTCTCACCTTGGATGTCTTTCTTGTGATCTTCTGTCTTCTTCTTCCCCCCTTGTTGTCTCCACTTTTTAATGGATTGTTAATTTACAGTAGATTGGCACCACATGTGATCTGAGGTTATACGGAATAGTTTTCTTGAATAAGATGTTGCATTTTAATTGCCCCTCAGTATTAATGGTCTTACAATTGCAAATGAAAGAGGACAGTTTGTAAGACAGGCTAATGAAGGTATAACAAAGTGAGATATTCCCAAAACTAAGTTCTATTTTCTGTTTCAGAACATGCTAACTTCGGCAAGCAATATGTTGAACGAAAATCTAACAAATTCCTGGAACCAGACAGAGAAAGTGTATGAACCTGAATTGGTATCTGCTGTATACCTCAACTCTGTTGAAAAGCTCATAGAGAATACAAAACTGCAGAATACCTCATTGAACATTAATTCTTCAAATATTGAGTTTAAAGGATGTGTTGTCAAAGAAAACCCTAATTGCATTAAAAATTTAAGCCTTTTCAATAACATGGTAAGCATGAATGGTATCGAAGATGGAGTTCTGAAAACAATGGTTTTTAAGACAATCGGTAAACTTCTGCCAAACAACATCTCAGATACTGATGTAGTCAGTTCTGTTCAATCAATCACGCTTATAAATTCAACAAACAACAACGGTAACATCAGAATGATATTCAGCATGTCCAAAGAAAGAGCTCTAAATTACGAGATCAAATGTGTTTTTTGGGACTTCAGTACTAATAAATGGTCGGAAGCAGGCTGTCAGTGGATCAAAAAAGATTCTACAAATTTTTCCACCTGTGATTGTAACCATTTGACTTCCTTCTCCGTGCTGATGTCAAAATTCCCTATATCACTGCCTTTCGGGGATGAATTAACGTACGTTGGTATGGGAGTTTCCATATGTTCTCTGCTCCTCTGTATTGTAATAGAATTCCTAGTGTGGAACACTGTGGTTAAATCAAACATTTCTCATTTTCGTCATACAGCCCTTGTTAACATTTCTTTAAATTTGCTAATTGCAGACTGCAGCTTTCTGGGTTCTTCCTTTCCTGAGAAGCTTAGCCCAACATTGTGTTTAGGCCTTACGATTGTAAAACATTTCTGTTATTTAGCCATGTTTTTTTGGATGCTGTGTTTAAGCACTATGCTTCTCCACCAACTTGTTTTCATCTTCCACCAGATGAGAAAGAAAGTCTACTTGTCTTTTTCATTTATTGTTGGCTACATTTGTCCTTCAATCATTGTAGCCGCCACATACGTTTACTTTGGATCAGCGTACCACAATCCAGAAACTTGCTGGTTAATTTACAGTCAAGCTCTTCATGGGTCCATATTTTCTTTTGTGTTTCCTGTTTTAACCATTGTTATAATTAATTTCTTTGCCATGGCTGTGGTCATTACCAAGTTATTGAGACCTTCAGTTTCAGAAGGCACTAAAATGGATGAAAAAGAGACTCTCAAGAGTATTCTTAAGGCAGTGATCTTTTTGACACCTGTTTTTGGAGTAACGTGGATTCTTGGATTTTTAATTTTTACACTGGATTTAAATGATGGACTATATGTTAAACTAATTCATTACGCTTTTATTATATTGAACTCTTTCCAGGTAAGAATATGACTTAATTATTTTATTTTGTTACCTTATGTGGCTAAAGTAAAAATAGAATGCCTTATTTTTTTCCTTTGTATCATATATTTATAGGGTCTGTTTATTTTGATTACTGGATGTCTTACGGAAAAAAAGGTAAGTCTGTTGAGCATTGCCCTCATAATACCAGCACACTTTATCTCTGACATGGTGAAAAGTGACATGTTCTGTAGGTTTTAAATGTTTTAAAGGTTTTAAATGTTTTCGACCCTTAAAATGTGTTTTATTCAGGAGTATTTAGAAACATTAGCATCAGAACTGATAGACATGTACAATTGTAAACAATGCAAAAGTGATTTTGATTTGTCTTGATATTCATGATAATTCTTTTTTTTACTTATTATCTATTTTTGTTTGACTGTAGGTGCGAGAAGCCCTTTTGAAATACGTCAATTCTGTGGTGAGTTGATTGTGAACTTTTTAAATAAGACAACGTTTAAAATGAAGACATGAATTTATGAATAAAGAGTTCTTTCTTTATACTTTTAGTATGCTCAACCATCCAAAACTGAAAGCTCTTCAAAAGCTCAATCCTCTTTTGTAAAGAAATGATGTTTCAGCTCTCAGCAAGAGGTGGGTGTTAGTATTTATTTATAATTTTTACACTTGATTTATACTTGGATAACTTTTGCTTTATTATAAATATGCTTTATATACTGTTTATACATACATAACTCTTTATTCTACTAGTAAAGTACTTAAATTAAAGGCAGTCCCTGTTACAAATTAACCTGCTAGACATTTTTTGCACTTAGGAATTGAGTAACCAATCACGTACCGCGGTACCGAGCGTCATCGTGCGTCACAGTGCGCGACGCCATAGCCAGTTACCTCCGGTATGTGTCTGTACCGCGCACTTTGAATGGCTGCATCTGTAAACATTCCCAGCATTTATGGTGTTTTTCAAGATACCAAATCCAGCAATATAGAAGGTCCATGGATTATTTTGGTTGATAAAAAAATATTGTGAAGAGCAAATCTTACAAATTCTTATTCTTGTAGACAAAAGAATATTTTTATTCATCATTCCACTATCCAACTCGAAGTTTTGGCCCATGGGGAACCGCCTATATTAAGAAAGCATATTCAAAGTCTCTTCAAGTTAAGAATTTAATTGATTTGAATAACTAAATAGTACATAATTTAATTTCAATTTCTAAATGTGTTTATTAGTATGAAAATATTATAATTACTTTAACATTTCACTCGCTGTACCTTTTTTATTTTAACTACATAGCTTAGGTCATTCAAGCTAAGTATTTTTATTAAAATTGCAATTAATCACAGGTGTCTTATAGCAGGTGTAATTGTGGCTCACTGGATCAGCAGTGGTCTACTGTATAACAAAACATATAGAATTAAATTGTTAATCACCAGTACTTTTAATATTATGACCTTAAATAATATTATGACTATGCTAACCAAGGACATTGATTTTCGCAGTCATTATTGTTCATGGTGTATTATCACTGGCTACAATTCACTGTTGTATTCACTCTTTTTGTAGACTTCAAATTGGAATGAAGAGCAACAATACAAACCAATGGAATACCTTCTTATGTATACATATGTAAATATTGTATTAATTGCATTAATTAAGAATCCCTCATCTCAATTTTTTTAACTGTGCAGAAAACATGCTATTTCCAAAAAGTCTTTGTAAGTTTTCAGAACATGTTTTCAATGTGTTATTATATTAAAGCATCTGGAGTTGCTGAAAAGTCATTATCTGCTTGTTTGAGGTTTCCAACCTTTTCAACAAAGCAAGGAAAGTATGAAAGAAATTCAACAGAGGAATGGAACAAAAATACTTTAAAAGTTAGATAAACTTCAAAGTACAGGGTATATTAATACTCAACCAAAGATTTTCAGAAGAGATTTACACTGTAAATCACAACCTGAAAAGGCTATCCTCTCTCTGGAATAAATCTTTTCTTTTTGTAGCCTATGCATTCTGATGCAGGTTCCTACTTGAGTTTCTCATAATTATCTTGGTTAAGTCCACCTCCAGTATGAGATGTACAGTAAATAAGATGTGCTCAATCTGTTTCATCCACATATTGTTTAATTTGTAGAGGCTTAAATTTGAATAGCCTTGTTAAAATTTAAGTTGCCTAGGAATTTGATGTAATGAGAACATTGTTTTCTTTAATTGGTAACTAACATCTGTTTAATGCATACTTGCGTTAAAAAGATGCAAATGTTTTCAAAACAATTTCAAAAGAAATGGCATTTAAATTATAACTGTTTAGCCATTATCTTTGCAATGGAGAAGAGTCATATTTATATTAATAAGCAAGTTAATTAGTCAAATTTATCATGTAATTTGTATCAAAGTACACTAAAAAAAGAAAGAGTAAACCAATTGAACCAGTTAATTGAACAGATTGCATCCTCCATTAAAGCAATGGGTGTCACATTTGCATCAAACTTGGAGTTCAAATTATTATTTTTTCTTTTAGTTTAAACAAAGAGGAAAATATAGATCAGGCATTTTTACTGTGCTGCTTCTACTGTTATATTGTACTAAATTGAAATCCATGTACTGTTAAAAGAGACAAAAAAGGATGCATCTTCTATAATGTATGGACCTACTGTATAATATATATTTTATTCTGATACAGCAAGGAATGAAAGAAAAATATATTTACATTTTTATCTTTAACAACAATAAGATAATAGTTATTATATTATAAACAGACTGAAAAGTTGTTCTTTTTTTCTTAGAAATTTGAATATATTCTTAATTTCAGCAAAAAAAAACAAGCCTTAAGTACACACAGTGACAAATAAGTCTTGCTTTCCACTTAAAATAAATCTATATGCAATTTGTTTCAATTTAATTCATAACATTTATGTATTTATTTGTACTGCTCTAAACCTAATAATGCTTCTTGTTATTTCTAGCTCATTGTTTAGATTTTGATTCATCAACTAATCTTGCAAAATGTTATACTGTATGTTACATATTTTACTGATACATTTTTATAAATAATAATTTGAAATAAAGTCATTTGACTTGATCTCTAAGTTAATGTCAGTGTCATATATACAAAAAATATACATTAATTTTCTTGAACATGCCAACAGTGTCAAGCATGGCATTTCTGGATGAATTGCAAACGTTATTGGATTTGCATACAAAGCAGTTTTGTTACAGTTCCTCCATCAAGCTACCAGGGGACACCCCAACCTCTAGTGCCTGCTCTAACTGCGCAGCAGAGATGCAGATCAAGCAGACGTCAGCAGCCAATCCCTGCTTGCCTAGTGTCTCTAGGTCACCACGCCTCCCCTCCTATAGCCTACTTAAACCCTCCTCATGGTTCATGCAGTGCTAAGTATTGTTGCCTATACTCTGAGCTCTAGTTTGAGCCTTTAGTACATTCTTCCCTGATTCTTGCCTTTTCTCCTTCTTCCATTTTCTTCCCTGTTCTTTGTTTGCTTTATCATTGTTCCTAAGTCTTTTGTCTGCTTGTAGATTCCTGGATTGGTTTTCTTCAGTTTGGTGTTCTCAGCCCTTGATCTTTTATTTTCCTCCTGGACTCCTAACCTGGTTTTTGGACATCAGCCTGTTTCTCGACTTTGATTATTGGATTGTGTTCCTGGACCAGGATTCTTGACTTCTCCTTCTGGCTTTAGACTCCCGCTCGCCTTTAGACCCTGGCCTTGGATTTCCCTCATTCACTGTTTTGGATCTTTTTTTTGGAACCCACATAGGGTCCCTTCTCGTTTATGGAGCTGTGGGCCAGGCTTACAAGTATACTAATAAAAGGAGGAGATTATACATTTGATAAATCAGGCAGGAACAGAAAAACATATACATTTATAGAACACCCCAAAAGTGACTAAAAAGTTTTATACTAGTAACCCCCAACTCAGTTCCTGTGACAGATTTCATTTGAACAAAAACAAACTCTCAAAGTTGAAATCACAGAAGGGGGAAAAAGGATACATGTAAAAGCTTTGCAAATACGAAGATCCAAGGGTTAAATGGATTTCCAATTGGATTTTATACTACTTTTTTGTGAAGGAATTTCATTGCTTTTTATGCAAATGATAAGGCATCTGATGCTGAAGATGGGGGGGGGGGGTCTTAAATAGAATAGAGCATCAAGTTAAATCAAGTTAGTTTGTTGAGCATTAAAAGAAAAATGGGTGAGAAGTGAATGAGCTAGTACTGTTAAATACATTTTCTTTGGTACTTCACCAAAAAAAGCCAAAAGGGTTTTTTAAACAAATATAAATGCCACATGCTTCAGTCTATTTCCAGCTGGGTTTGTCACTCATTTGCAGTGCATTTAAAAACAAATTAAGAAGTGGGATTTATTCCAGAGCTTTCCGGCTCACTCTGGCTCTGGAGCTTACACAGATTCAACAGAAGCTCCCCTGAGTTCCCTGACCATGGGCTGGAGGCAAAATAGAGAAAGGTAACACTAAAAACAAAATCTAAATGATCAAACCCAATTTACTGAACTGTATCATCTGTCATTTTTAAACCAGGCAGATCAGGTGAGTCACCATCAGATTAAAGATCCATATAATGGAACTACAGAAGTACTTCCAGATGATTTTATTCATTGTAATCAAAATGGTTTCATAAAAAACACAGACCCAAAAACTAAGATAACTGTGTGCCCACAAAGACAGTTTGCTTTTCCCTAACAAGAAACCATGGTTAAATATCGATATCCGAAATAAACTGTTGGCACGATGGAAGGCCTTTAAATCTGGCAATCTTGACCTTTAAAGGAAAGTGAGGTATGACCTGTGGAGAGCTATCAGGGACGCTAAAAGGCAATACCCTAACAAGATAGAAATACAAGCTGCCTCTGCCGACGTGTGCAAAATGTGGTGGGGGTATTCAGACAATAACAAACCATAAAGCTAAAATAAGCAGTGTTACTGTATATCCCCCGTGATTTTTCTCTCCTGGATGAGCTGAACACCTATTACCCTTGTTTTGAGAAGGGAATCACGGAACCACTGGTGCCGGTGCTCCCGGCTGGTGAAGATACAGCCGTGTCTGTCACGGAGGCTGAAGTCAGGGCAACTTTCAGATGGGTGAACACATGGAAGGCGACTGGCCCAAACAACGTTCTTAAGGACAGGTTCTTAAGTCCTGTGCAGACCAGTTGGCCGCGGTTTTGACAGATATTTTTAATCTTTTACTTTTACAATCTTCCATTCCCGTGTGTTTTAAGAAAGCTACCATTATTCCAATACCAAAGAAAAATACTGCAACCTGTTTTAATGATTACAGACCAGTAGCACTCACATCCACCATAATGAAATGCTTTGAAAGGCTGGTCATGAGGCACATTAACACAATGGTACCATAGTGCTTAGACCTCCCTGGAGTTTGCATACCAGCGTAACAAGTCCACTGACGACGCTATTTCCCTGGCTCTTCACACTGCCCTGCCTCATTTGGATGATAAAAATCCAAAATGCAAAAATCAAAATGCTATTCATTGATTACAGCTCTGCATTTAACACAATAGTTCCTTCCAGACTAGTCAGGAAGTTTTTACAGGTGCGCTATTGATGGTGTACTCAGGTCAGAATCCAGAAGAGCTTATTCAGACCCTGTGTGGGCCTGGAGTGAAAAGTTGAGAAAAAGAGTACGAATTCCGTTACTGAAGTCCAAATCGTAAGGCAATACCATGGTCAAGTAGGATGGCAGAGACCCGTAATCCAGAGAGCAGAGTCTGAAAACTAAATCTAATCCATGAGGCAGGTGCATAGTCGATGGGGAGACTAAATCAGTAAACCATGAGTCAGGAGAGATTTCCAAATCCAAATCGTGAAGCATGTCCGTGGTCGGTGTTGGTGATAAGGCAGTGTCCGTAATCCACAACATTGCTAGACAAACAGGCGAAAGGAGTAGCTCTAGTGAGTGAAACTCTATAGTGAGCATAAAAGGTGTGGCAGAAAAGTTTAGGTAGGGAGAAATGGGAAAAGAGGTTGGATAATTGATTAATTGCAGTGAACAGTGCAAGTTGGAATGTGGCCGCGAGTGCATGGATGGGTGGTGACCCTGACAACTCACATGTCATTACAGTGTGGTATGGCAGCAGCTCGTTGTCTGACTGGAAGGCATTACACGGGGTGATCAGGTCAGCCAAGTCCCTCATTGGACTACAGATCCCCACTCTTTTGTGGACATTTTTACAACTTATTGTCTCCGGAAGGCTGGAATTATCGCTAAGGATACCAGTCATCCTGGTTTCTCATTTTTCTACTCCCTTCCCTCAGGTAAGTATTATAGGAGCATAAAGGCACGTACTTCCAGATTCAGAGACAGTTTCTTCCCACAAGCTATCAGATTACTGAACACTATCCCTACCACTGGTTCACATTGATGTTTTTTTTTCTAAGATACATGTTATTTATCTTGTTTTTGTTGCTGCTGCTTTTCTGTGTTTATGTTTTTGGTGTTTCCTTAATGTCTTTGTAATGGAGCATTCGTACAAATAATCTTCTTCTATTTCTTTTATTATCATTTTCTATGAGACAAACAGGAACTGAGACAGTGATCATCAAAATCACTGAGGATTTGATTCTTTCTTCTTTCCTGTGCTTGAACCCTACATCTTGTTTACAATTTTCAAATCTCTACTTTTAAGATTGCAATTGCCTCATGTTTCTTTCACTTCTATCATTCCCTCTCTGCTTTGATTGTTTGAAAATCCTAACTTAATACAAGCATTTCTTTTGGTTGGTCTTCTGACAAAATGAGGAAGGAAACTGTCTTTAAAAGAAAGCAAGTAAAATAGAAATCCCTATTGTGGCAAAGAGTCTCGTAAGGCAGTGTGGAGAGTAAAAAGTCGAGGAGACCTCTTGCAGGCTCAAAGGGAAGCTTTATTGCCCTTTTATTTTACAATGGGAGACAAGCATAGAGAGGGAAACATGTGCTTTCCTTAAGAACATGAAGGAGAAAAGGTAAGCATTGTCTCTTAACCCTTATATGGTGAAAATATGGGAAAAGTGACCCTGGGGAGAAGGGGAAAAGTCACTGAAGCAATTCTAGAGCGGGATGCTACAATATTGTTTTTTTAACAAAATGTGAAAGGAAAGTTAAAATCTTCCATGAGAGCTACTGTACTTCTTCCATTACACTTACTGTGCATAATATAATACTGTAATATAAATCATATATTAATTTATTTGTCTGTAGTCCTAATTATGGTTATGCATAATCCTAATCCTAATGTTATAAATTTGACCCATATACTCATGAGTCATATGCAAGGAAATGTAGCTTTAATAAAACCTTAGCAACAACATTACAGCAGTCACTTTCTATGGGACCAGTTCCTGAATATAGAGCAAACATACATTTAATTAAAAGTTAATAAAAAGGTGCTAATCGACCATCCCCAAGTTGGAACATCCTGTCTATAAAGTCAATGAAACATTTGCATCAATCATTAATAATCTTAGAAATTTACATGCAAAGCAAAAGACAAGATGATAATACAAGATGAATGAGATGAATGTTCCTATAAAAAGAAATAATGGTGGAACAATTTAGTATTGGAATTTAAATCTTGGGTTTCAATTATTTTTTAAACAGAATTTACAAATATTTTAAAAGTTAATTCCAATGGTGTTATAACTCAATTAATGGCTATGTTTCATGCGTGATATACTGTATGGATATATATATATAAGGAAGACAATTCATGTTTAATAACGTCTTTTAAGGATGATTGCAATGATAGTTATCATCAAGGCAAGTGTGCCTGTTGCTCCTCCAATCATCACTCCCACAGCATGCCCATTGACCTGCTGCTTCTCGCACCTCTCACCGAAGAAGACAGACATCTGGCCCAAAGCACACCTACCAGAACAAACACATTGTTTTCAAAGAATACATTTCACTCCTGACTTAATCTGTTTACTGAAGGTGTCTCTAATCTGTCTGTCTGACCTGGTGTGAGAGTGTGCATGTTTGTGTCTGTGTGTACCCTGCGAAGAACTAGCATCCCATCCAGGGTGTATCCTCCTTCTTGACCATATATTGAATGAAGCGACTAGAAAACGGATGGAATGTTTTTGCAAATAAATTCTGTATACAGCTGCTCTTCTGTGCAGAGAGAAAAGAAAAGAAGTTTAATCTCCTGACCTGCAGGTGGGTTTTCCATTTCTTGTCATGCACACACCGCCATTGAGGCAGAAGTTAGGGTGGCAGAGTTCAGTGGGTGCAGATCGTACTTGTCGTGGTTTTGGGATGTTGACAGAGTTTAGAGCATCTTCCATGGGGTTGCGATTGCCACTGGGATTTCTCGGTTTAACAGGTACTCCTGTCTTCACCAAGTGAGTCAAATCTTAAAACACATAATGCAAATAAATACACATTCACAATCCATGAATAGTTTCACGTCTTCCAAGAGGATGAGTTTTAGCTTATACTGACTGACTCTATTCATTTTTAGAACTAAGGTTTCCCAATTTAAACAAGAAATCAAAATGAAATAGCCTTTACTTCTTTAATGTTATACGATCTATTAATATAATATGAACTATGTGTATATAGTTCGGAATAATAATGTAATTATTATAAAGCACTGCTATTAAATATGTATTATTAAAGGCTGAACTAACTGTATGTAAACAGATCCACATTGACTGTGTTAATTTTACACAGTGTTAGACTTGGGGGGGAGAGTGTAGAGTTTCACTTTGTTCCAGGACACCTCAGAAAACTTCTCTGAGAGAATATTTATTATAAAACATTGTCATTCCTCAGCTCCAGGCATGCTGTTTTCCGAACTCATACATCAGAAAGACCACCGAAACAAAAATTATTCTGCAGCTAGGATTACACATTCTCCCTTCCCTTAACGACAGACTACTCTTCTTTTAAATTTTCTCCATTCATTGGAAGTTTCATTTCACACCTCTCTGCACCCTTTCTGACTTCACACCTCTTGATTGGCCTCTCTTTCTGTCCCCTGCTCCCGCCTCTCACTCCTCCTCCCTCCTAACCTTTGTTCACACGCTACTTTACCTTTGCCTACTGCCCTGTCTCTCTCACACCTGAAGAAGGCTCCACGGCCGAAACGTTGTGTTCTCTTTCTTCTTTTTTTCAGCATGGAATAAACCTATTACTTGTTCCTTTGCACTATTCTATATAGTTTGTTCTTAAACTAAGAATTTGGTATAATGAGTTTTTAAACCTTTTGTAACATTAATTAAGTATTTATATTAGTTTAATAGAACCTGGTGGAGGTAGAATGTTTGTTAGCACTGTTGTCTTACAATTTCTCAGTTCAGTTTGATTTTGGACTGAGGTATCTTCTGGAATTTGTATATTTTCCACATTTTCACATAGTCTTTCTCCTTCCATTAAAAATGTACAGGCTAGGATAATTTTTGTGTATTAGCTCTCCATGTGTGCTTTGGTGCTCCCTGTGAGAAGACTACTGTATCCCAACCAGTGTGTAGTCCCACGCTGTACTCTAAACTTCAAGTAAAGACTTCAGAGTGTCAAGACCCTTTCTAGAAATAAACCAATAAAGCCTCATTCACACAGTACATTTAAACATCATGGAAGTGGTAAATTCTATGTACAGTATGTCTTACAAGATTTACATTTTGTACATTATTTCTTATTGAATCTAACATTTCTGGTTATATAGATATACTGTAGAAAATTTTTAAGTAATGGATGAGGATGCATACTGTATACAGATGTAATGTATAATGTTAGTAAGAAAAATGTTTAAAGCATAATGTCAGAAATACCTTCAAAATCTATAAGTAAAATTAGGTCATTGTTTTTCAGGAAACTCCTTCTGAATAACTGTTGATGTGAAACAAAGGTGTTCCATCCAAATTCATGTCCTTTGAAACAGTTACATACTGGATCCCATTCTCCATTTATGGATGGCTTGTTCCACACTGATTCTGTATCTGCAAAATACCATTATGAGTTTATGTAGATAATGTAATCAAATAAAACTAAAAAATGCTATGCAATGTACAATACTTGAGAAATCTTAGACTGTTTACAAGTTTTATTAATCCAAAACCATACTATTTAATAAGCTGAAAATGTATAACTTATATATGCTGAATTACTAGTAATATAGTAATATATAAATGAACATGCAGTCTTGCCATAATCTTTAGTATTTCTTCATTTTGATTTGTGTACAAGGAATTAGCTTAGTATGAATCACCATTTGACAGGAAATCGTTAGACTAAGACTGGTATTCAAGGGATAACTGAATCATCCTGATGTCACCCATTCAATGATTGGCTCAATTTGAAACCCTGTGTTTTAATTCAGTATTTTAAACAGTAAGGAGGTAAGATTAAACCTTAAATTTCTTCAATTTTTTCCAATGCGTAGACCTCAGGACTAGCTTGGAACCAATCGCAAAAAAGGGAAGCTACCGTAGCTAAGTATATAATGCTGGATTGATATGTAACCGATTTATTTTGTCAAATTCCTTGATTTGTTACTCAAGGCATAGTTTAAGGGTAATAGTTTAAAGTCTGAAAAGGTAATAAATGCCATCAATGATCAAGGTACCTTACTCCCAATGGATCAAATCAACACACTATTACACAGTGCACACGTGCAGACACCAATATTGCCTGGGGGTTAACCTGCAATGATCTAATCACTTTGTTCTAGCCAGAATACTCCCATCCAGAGGTAGCTTTGTATTGATAATTCCCATAATGCTGCTGAGCTTTGAAAAGATTTTAACTTACTGGTAGTGAAGCTCCTGCTAACTGACATTCTGAGTCTTACATCAGGGTCTTGATCCATGGCAATGATTGTGACTTGCCTGTTCTGTGCTGGCCACTCCAGAGCTTCATCATTCTCACCGCTGAACAGGTGAAAGTAAACCCTTGTGTAGTTGACATATGTTGAATTCATTGGGCCATGAGAATGTAATGTTATTCCAAACCTGTAGCCTTCAGGGCTGTAAAAGATTGGACTTTCCTTTACATACGCTGTTCCAGGAGTCTGAAGAAGACTGGTGAAGTTCTGAATTTGCCAGACAGCACCAGGGCATTTAGTTTCTGTCAGAGTGACATCATCAACAAAAATACCACCAGTTGTGTTTTGGGATCCCACAATACCCTGGAAGATGTAACGAAATTTGCTTCTGACATTAAGATTCACATGAGCAATTTTCCAGGAGTCCTGTCCATCACCTAAAATATGACCATACATATCTGTTATTTGGATTGAACAACAAATTATTTGTTTCTTTTTACTTGCTTTTTTAATTTTTAGTTACTGAAGTACAGTAGATAAACTTTATTTAGTGGTGTGACTGTGACTGAAGCATATACAACAAAATGTACTGTAGCATAATAAGTGCAAATTAAATTCTTAAATAATAGAAGACACCTGCAGAATTTACTGAATTTAGCACACAACTTTCAACTAAACCCAAGCATTCATCTTTTTTTTCTACCTTTCTTTTCCAACATTTTCTACCTATGACCCCAGTAGTCCCTGCATCAACCGTCAAGGCCTACCTACCCAGTGCCCCCAGTAGATGCCTACAGATGAAGTAACATTTCTGCATGAAATTATCCTTTCAAAAGAATTTCCTCAAAAAAAGCAAAATTATGTATCTGGTTAATAATATATTCAGAATATCAAATGTAATTAGATTAGAGTACCTTTGATAGTTTTTACTTTCACAAGTTTCCGGAGATTCCCAGAGCCATCATCCATTTTAATCCAGATCACCAGCAAATCCTTTGGGTCTCCTTTTATTTTGTAGAAGAATTCAAGGCATTGTTGGTTTCTCTTTGGGTATAGAATACGAGATTCCAGGAGCGCACTTCTGCCCACTTGTCCATTAGATGCATCAAAGTGCATAAAATATCCAGCATCTAAACACATTTGTATATGCATACAAAAGTAAAAATTAATATGATTCTCCTATCAACTTCAGTAGCAACATAAAGAAACAAGGACAACTGGTATGTACAGGACATGTTCTTTGGTCTGGTCTCATTAGTCCATTGTAGCCATGTCTGCAAAGAGCTCCATTGATTGTTTGTTCTTCTTTTCAGGTGACTTCCCCAGCTTTTTCCATGATATCCCAAATGTTGTATAAACAGTACACTCATCTCTCAGTTTTACTAATAATAATTTTCCCTATAACAAAGCATATAACTCTATACCCATTTTTCCATATATAAACATATTTTTGCCAGAATCCCTTATGGTGTGGTTTTTGGACCAGAGAAGATGAAATAGGTGCAGCCTAGCTGGAGCTGGGAGAGGAGCCACTGAAGGGAAACAGGAATCCAATGGGCTCGGGAAGAAGACCTGAGTTTCAACTTCCTGGACAACTGGGACTGTGGGTAGAACAGTTTGTCGGAGACATTCAGAGGCTCACCACACCCAGTTGGAAGGTATACAGAGGGTAAGAAAAATCCTGTAGACTGAAGCCAAAGAACAGGTGCTGGATTCTGTGAGGGCTAAATGAGAAGCCTAGACTTAAATTTATATGGTGTGATTGAGCCCACAGAGCTGACTGGGTGGCCAGGGGGACCTATGTGAACTGTGGCAAAAGAGGAAATGAGAGGAGAAAGAGACTCTGCACCGCCTATCCAAGGAGGGATGACATCAGGAGGAGCTGAAAAAGAAGGGCATATTCTGTATCTTGGTGACTATGGTGAGCTGTTTATCTTTGGACTGCAGGAAAGCGAAATGGAGACAGGGGACAGACAGCATTTAATCTTTGAAGCCCGCGGGAAATGGAGGGAAGTTGGCTCATAATCATTTGGGGTGGTAAGGGTTCTGAAAGTGGATCGCAGACCTGAGTAACCTGCAGCCTACTTCGGAGCATAGCAGAAGGGCTGCTGCAGAAAGAGAAAAGAGGCAGATAGGGGAAGGGAAGAAGAGACATTTCTGGGAAAAAAATTAAACAAAATGGGAGCAGGTTAACGTACTCAGAAGCAACCACAGAAGGGGCAAGAGAAAAAAAGGATGGGCATACATGGTAAAATGTATACTTTCTTGCAATCTTTTCTCTAGGGATCAATTTCTGTTGATTGCAAAAATATAGAACAGCACACGTCCTACCTCTGCACCGCCCGAGTAGAGTGTGATCCTCTATTCCTGGCACACTCAGAGTATGACCCCAGTTTGCGCTGTCCTCCTCATTTTGTATCATGCCACAGATATTGTTTAACTCAAAGGAGCACTGGTCAAGAAGTGTAATGGAAGAAGCTGAAACGGGTTAAAAAACAAGAGCACACAGCAACACAGATTAGAAAATATGGGACTGGAGTGCTAGTTTTGGTAATTTTACCAGAGTAAAATGTTCTTAACAGTGACTACTTACTACAGTTGTACATTCGGTTCAGTCTAACCAAATCAAGAGTACTGAAATCCAGACGTTGCCCGATGATGTCATTAAAGGCTGGTATTACAGTTGTAATGGTTGGCACACTTTCATTTTTGTTGAAGGAAAGAGGTCTGTAATGCATTATGGATTCATAATCATATGGCGTGTTCAAGTCAGTAATGAATTCATCATCGTATTTGACAAAGTTGTGTTCTCTTCCTGTAAAAAATAAAGTGTATTGTAGAATATTATCCACTATAAGCTACTAATACTTACAAGTCTGGTGACATCATACTAAATAACCATGTTTGCATAAGAATTAAGGTCTTACCAGGAATAATTTCATCCCACCAAATTTTTACATAATCATCACGGTCTGTCCTGGATTGTTCATGATAAAAACCCAGAGCATGAAGTACTTCATGCTCAACAATTGCCTTTGTGTCACACCTTTCACCAATGGACACATTTTGACCTTCATGGAAATCTCCAACATAGGACCAACATCTGTGGGCATAATATTTACCAACAACCTTTAGTAACTGTTATCTGAGAAATAAATATTTCATTAACAATATATTTAAAACATGGGAGGGAACATGACATAATTAATCAATTGTTTAATTTAATTGAATGCAGTATATTCATATTTTTGAGTAATAGTTTTCAGGAAACTTAATGATTGACTTTTAGAAACTAACATTATTTTTATTGTAGCTTTAGTAACTATTTCATGCAGTAACCACAATCATCCTGAAATTTTTGCTAAATTTGGACAATCTGAGCCACAGAAAACAAGAGGACAAAATGGAAATGTTTCTTCTATAACTGAGTAAAAACTATCTATAATATTCTGCTTTATGAACAGTGACAAAATGCAATGAAGCAATTTTAATATGTAGTGCATTGGGAATTGTACTGTTGCAGACTAAAGAAACAAGGACAAAATAATCACCTCATTGTCTACCTTCTAATTCTTTATAATTTAAAGTATATCTTAGCTCAGTTTGTTATCAGCTTTTCACATTGGCTTGTGCACCTAATATACCTATATCATATAAACAAACTTGTACATTTAGATTTGCAAATCATTGCAAAACCTAGTGAGAGGCAATGATGCTATTAGGTTCCTGGTAAAGCTCACCCATCTAGCTTTTGAAAGGACAGGAATGTTTGCTCTCCTTCATAAGGCTTGAAGTCCACACAAGATTTCAAGCGATACATTTCAAAAGCTTGGAGAATGACACCTTTTGCATTTAAATCTGGAAAATAAAATACAGGTTAAATTACAATTGGTAACTATGCAATGCATACACGGCTCTTGTAAAGATGTTTATTCATCTCATACAGATGCAATTTTAATAAGTTGCGAAAGGAACAAGTAAAAGGTTTATTCCATGTTGAATATAAACTGGGTTTAGGAAAGATAGATTGTCTATCTTTCCTAAACCCAAAGAAGTCTCCACAGACGAAAAGTTGTCTTATCTTTCTTCTCTTTTCAGCATGGAATAAACCTATTGTTCTTTTGCAGCCTACACATGCTAATGCAGCTACCCACCTGAACTATTTTAATAAGATGGATTAAATCACAAAGAGCTGCCTATTTTTTGTGAATTTATGAATAAATGTTCAGGGGAAGGCAATGAGATGAGATTGAATGATAATCTTCTGTTCTGTGCATGTGTGTATTTCAGTTAAAATTGCCTTTTGATTCCTAAAAACATTGCCAAAAATAAGGCAAGGAATAAGTTGGAAGGTTGTAAACTGACCAGGATAACTCACTTTTCAGGATGAGCTTAATTATAAACTGTGTATATCTGATCATTCCTTTCTTTACAAACAGTGGCCAATAATACTGACTGGGTTTTGGATTTTTTTTAATGCAAAAAATGTAAAAAAATATCTTGTTTACCTAAAGAATCAGTCAGAATGTAGGGAATTGGAAACTTCCATCTAGTGGTTTCATTTCTGAGTGCATTTCTTCCAGGCTGTAAATAATATTATAATAACCAATTACAGTTGATGTTTTGTCATTGTTTTTCTTTGTAATAGATATTCATGTACAGACTGTCTACTTACATCAATTGCAATATCGCCTTCAAACAAATGTCTCTGAGAAGCTAAAGAAAAGAACTGTATTATTATTCTCCTTAATTAATAGTATATTATACAGTATATAAAAGATATGTGCCATTGTAATTAAACGTTATTTAAAGGATGTTTTTCACTTTTGCCTTTACTGTTTACTGTAAAATGCATGTATTAAATACTCTGCATTGTTAATATCATTTAATTCAGAAAAAAACAATGTTTGGCTTTCATCAAATTCAAAACAATTCAGTTGCTTATTTTCTGTGAAACACAAATTGTTTCTTGCCTGAACTGGTAAATAATTAAAACATCTTAGATATTCGAATCAAATTCATTTATTTTTGTTTTAGCATTAGCTGATCACTCCTTTAATATATATTTATGAAAATCAAAACCTTGTGTTTTAAATTCTTGATTGTTACCTGGTAGATGAGAAGCAATTTATAACACATCTCAGGCAAATAACAATAATAATAATAACAGTGTTATTGGGAGCAGGTTTGAAAATGTTTGAAGAAATTAGTGTGTTACCAAGATTAATGTCAAGGATATCCTCACGTAATTCTCCCGCATCTACATTATTAACTGTTAAAAAAAAACAATAGAGAAAATCAGTATGTTTAAATTTCATATTTTGTTACCATCTCTACTATAAACACAATACTGTATTACATTTACATTTCATTAAACATTTTATATGGAAATATATATAATCTGAAATATACAGAAATAACAGGTAAACTATTTGAGTAAAAATAATAGCATATCCATTAAAATGTATTTGTACATTTACACCTGTACATAAAATATTCTAAAAAACTTCATACCATAAACTGATGGAGCTGCACCAACCTAAAAAAGAAAGAGTTCTATTTATTTTTCAGAAATCCAAAACTTAATTAAAACATAATACAACTATAAAAATATGCAATTGAATACACCTACTTTTAATGCAGGACAAAATAATATAAAGGATATGATCTTGAGTAGAAACTTCCAGGAGCCCATGTTTTGTTGAAAGAGCTGATGCATGAGATTCTTTCACACTATAAACATCTCCCATAAAACTCACAATATAGGACTTTGCACCAAATGTCAGCAAACAATAATGAATAGGTTTCAAAGATCATCTTATACATACAGTATCTACATGCTCAGAAGTACAGAGTGTAGCATACAATAGGTACTACTGAAAATGCATACTTATACAAAAGAGACCTCAAGAACACAACATCCTATTAATCTATATCGACACATTGTATTGCAAATAAGAAAATAACACAGTCAGTGCATTTGAGGATTTTGAATACTTGTATTACATCCCCTCCTAGCCATCTGTGTTCAAGATTTAAAAATATTCTGTAGTTTTAGCCTGTCAAAATAGAACATTATCATGATCATGAAAAACTGTACACATTTTTCTAAATTATACTAAATTATTCTAAATTATAACTACTGCTTTATGCAGTATACTAACTAGTCTGTTATACATACTGTATCATCCTCATCCCTATATTTAAATTTGACACTTCTGATAACCTAACTTTTTGTTTAGCTTGTTATTGGTTCCATGTTTTGTCAGGTAGGTATAAACAATGTGTCAAACCTTGTGTGTCTTTTTCTTAAGTAGACTTTCTAGTTGATTGTTTCCAATCTTGTATTTTTAGTTTCTGTTTGTACTACCTGCAGGCAAAACCCTGCACTTGATTACATCATGTTCCAGGAGTTTGTCCAGTCTTAAATTTTATCTGAATCTTTTTAAAAGTTTGCTGTTTCTACAGTGTATTCTAATTCCCCTAATTTGGTTTTATCTGCAAACTTGACAAGTGCATACCAGCATCTAGATCATTCATTAAAAACAGTGGCAATCAACAGTGGTAATGCAATTTTTTTCTGAATACTTACTGTGTAAAATGAGAGAATTAATCTTTGATGAGGAGCCTAATCAAAAGTCTTCTGAAAATCTAAATACACTAGATCATATGTCTTTTATGTACTTATTATTGTTGCTTGTTTAAGAACTCAAGTTGGTTATGCAAGACCTCCACACTTTGGCCCTCCCGTCTGCGTGACGCAGGCTGAAAAGTGACTCATCCATGAAGAGAACCTGATGTCACTGCTGACGAGTCCATCACAGCCTCTAATTTGCCAGTCAGGTGTGACGTCTAGGAGGTGTTAGCAGTGGGCCTGCAGCGTGGAGTCTTACTGTCCTGTCACTGATTCGGGCATTGTGTCTGCTGGCAGTTTCTGCAGCAGTACAGGTGGCAGATCTGAAGCGATCTCTCAGATGGACCTGTCTGATGTGTCGGTCCTGCTCTGGTGTGGTCACTCGAGGGCGACTAGATCTTGGATGGTCATCTGTCCTGCCAGTCTGCTGAAACCTTCATTGCAGTCTTGTCACAGTGGAGTGGCTTACTCCATAGTGTCTGGCAACACTGGCACATGACATGCCTGCAGCATGCCAATGGCCTTCTTCCTTGCATCTGGTAACATTCAAGGTATTATGGAATGCACAGAAAACTGACTGTGTGGCCTTTTTCTTGCAGTGACCTAAGCTTTGAATTAAGGCCTTTTTAAAGGTGACCTGACCTCTTTGGGAAAAAGTGCACCTCACGAGCTTTCGTGTGATTGGCAAGTTGGAATGTCTCACTGCACAAGCTGTACTGCTGGTCAGAGGGATTAAAACAAATTGACAACTTTTTGTGAAAGTACATAAGCTTTAATTATAGTATTCTCATTCCAGCAAATGTTGCGTTTCTTTTTTCCATCAGTATATATTAGGTGGTTCTCTAGTTCAGTTCTAATCATTGTTCCTATAACCTTAAATGAAATAGAATTATTAGTCTATAACTACCTGTCTCGGTTTTGTCACTCTCAATGGGCACAAATTTAGCAATTCTCCAGTCCTTGGGCACTAACACTGTCCTGAGAGACTGGTAAAATAGTTGTGTCTATGGCTTCCGAAATAACATCTCATTTCCTTCAGTACAGTTAAGAAATTACTGTTGGGCCCTGGAGTTTAATTTATCTTGAGCTTTTCTAATACCTAAAACATATATGCTTCTTCTGTTCTTATACTGTTAAATAAAGAACTTGCAGTACATTTTCTCTCTGATGCATGTTGTTGACTTCTTCCTTGTGAACATGATAATGAAATACTAGTTTAGTTCATATACCATTTAATGTAAGATAGCAGTGAAATAACTGATGATCAAACCAAGTTAATGTTATATATACTGTGTTCTGCAATGTGCTTCTTATTTTTTGTGCACATATTTTACAATGCATTTGTATGAAAAGACCTATTATAAGCATTAAGGTCTGGTGACCTTATGAACTAATGTTATCGCTGTTGCCTGTTCTGTTCAGATTGCTTTATAATAATTATCAAGATATTTATGTTATTGATATGGTATGACATGGCATGGCTTAACTTGGTTTTAATTTCACATGAAAAATTCATGCAAGGCTGAGATGTCCTATATTTATATAAAATACATGTACTGTATTACATACATATTTCTTCCACATATTATTTTATTTAAATTTAAAATTCTGAATAGTGGGGTCTCTTAATCCAGATATTATTGTAAGAATTGTATATTACTTTGCTTGTTTGCTAGATAAAAACAAAACTTCCTGTTATAGCTTGCCTTTTTTCTTCTTTTCAAAACAGTAGAGAAAAATAGTTTATGGTTGATGTGAACTTGAGTTGTAAGCAATACGTATGTGATCACATGTATCTTGTAGACATATACTGTATATGTGTGGGTTATATTAGGTGTAACTTTGTAAGCTATAATAGATGGCATAGAAACTTCAAAAGAAGAGGGATCTGACTGCTGTACAATGTACCTGTTTCAACCACATTCTATCAGGAATTTCATTTGCCTGATCTAAATTGAAAAATTTCTTCTTCAACTGTTCTATTGTGAATAGAAAATATGTTTAAGATTATTGCCTTTCTGCATGATCCACGGCTGACATATGGATGGAAGATATTCTTCTCCAGAATTTGAAGATATAATGATGAATTAATGATTCCATCAATAACGGCAAACCATGTAGGTCCTGAGGCAGCAACACAACACACCAGCCATGATACGCCTTCCACCAAGCTTCATGGCAATAATGACATACTTCTGCCGGAAGGCTGTATTTAGTTTTCACCTAAAAAAAAAATCTTATTTTGACTATGAAGTTCAATTTTGGAACCCACTGTCCAAATGAACATTCTTCCAGTTGTGACACTTTAGTGTAAAGACTCATCGTATATAGCGGAGAAGACTCGCCTTACAATATGACTACACACTGGCACACCGCTCGCTCCCTGGCTAAGGAAAAGAAGCACTCTGCCGGTGCTCAGGAATTTCACGCACACCCCTCACTATTACACAGTGGTCTTCAGGTTTGTCCATGTGCTCTCTGACGAACTTGAGAGGGGCAGAAATTTTCTTTTAAGAGAGCAGTGGTTCCTTTCTGGCTATCCTTCCATGAAATCCATTCCTTTTAAGTCTTTTCCTGATGGTTGGGCAATGAATATCGACATTAGTCAAAGTTAGAGAAGCCTGCAGATGTTACATGTTACTATAGGGTTCATAGTGACCTGTCCAAGGTAGAGTTCCTATAGTCTTTGATATTTATCATTTGTATCTTTCTGACAGTGAATGCATGGAGCCCCAAATGTTCATAAATATTTTTTTAAATATTAATCTTTCTCCAGACTGATCGGTATTAACTAATCTTTTTCTGAGATCCTCTGAAATCTCTTTTGATCATGGCAAGACATGTTTCCACTAATCTGTAAGACCAAACTAACAAGTCTCTGCCCATTATATAGGATCATTATTTTATATGGGCCCATTATATATATATTCTTTTTACTTATTACCAAGATATTTAACCACCTGATACTAATTACCCCCAATACATTTGTGTTGAGTAAACTGGGGATTCACTTTACTTCACTGAATTATGTAATTTACAGTGATTTTTTTCACCCTTGTATACCATTACATCTCAAAAATATTTAATTGGCAAATGTAAACCATTTGGGTATTTAAGAAAAAAATAAACAAGCTTAAATTTAATTTAGGTAAGTAGTTGCAATTCCCTTAATTACAGTATACTGGGATAATTCTATACACAATATTTTTATCAGCACTTTATCTTCAAGCTTGGAAGAATAAAGAGCTCTGAATTTTTCCTATACTGTATACTGATATAATATGCCAAATAAATTATCATTATGAAAATTTGAAATAAGATTACATTATTTATTGTTCGTAGAATATACATATATTTATATTGTATATAAAAGATATATGTATGACACTTCAATATGTTTTACCACACTAAGGTCAGGCATGTGACAGTTTGTGGTATATCTGTTATAATGGGTGCCAGCTGATTAGAATGTAGTTTTGTACGTCCATGTCTTCCTGCTAATTAGAGTCTTTTCAAGAGATGTCATAGTTGCCCGTTTAATTTCGTTTGTCCTTTTACAATTAATATAATCATGTAAGTCTCAGTGCTTAATTGATACATCTTAAGGTGAGGTTTAACTTCTATAGGGTTACTTACCACAAAGAGGCTTATAAAATTAAAACATTTCTTACCATCTGATTATATTTTACTGATATATTTGCTGTAGTGTGTTGTACATTGTAGTGGTTTTCAGATTGATAAGATAGTACACAGCTTGTTAAATGTGTGAAATATATTTTATGATAGTAAATATAAACCCAGTGGCATAACTTTAACATTCCAGTATCAGTCAGCAATTAATTGAATTTTCTAGTACCAACTTTCTACATCCAGTCTGCTGGTTTTGTCATTGTTATTTATATTTATACTGTATTTAGTATGGTATTAGGAAGTATGGTGTTGGAAACAATTAGTAATGCAATTTTACACAAGCAGCTATACAGTATGTGTGCACATGGAGTGCACTTCTAAAGGAAAGATATCATTACATACCATTTATAGCTGAGTATTTTCTTACTCAGATTCTTTCTCGATACACAAAATACAAATTATTTTGTGTATCGAAGAAATTATCTCCTTGTTACACTGTAAACCATTGGAGTGCTCTGCATCTGTTTTATGCTTCAAAATGGTTCTTTTATTTTTCTGTTGCTGTTTTCTTATAATGTAGGATAGCAAAGTGTTTTGCTATGATCAACACATTTATCATAAATTGAGCATTGAAGAGTACACAACAAGAGATCTGCTACAAATAAGGTTTAAAAATAGCTGACGGCAGTTTATTATTGTGTTGTATTGTTGCAGAAAGTGTTTTGAAGAATGGCTGTGTGGTAGGTATGAAGATTTGTGCATGTTTATAATTATGTATTACAGTGTTTAATACAATGCGATACTGGGAATGGCACATTTGCTAGCTGTGTTGGGGCCCTGGGGTCAGTTCCAGTTCTGTGGTGCTATCTACATGATGCCCATTCTCAGGTACTCTGGTTTCCTCCTGCAACCCAAACACATACTGGTAGTTAATCAGCTTCTGTGAAAATGTGCCTTGGAGTAAGTGTGTACAGGTCTGTGTGGACTGGTACCCATCAGGAGTGTATCCTGCCTTGCAACCTTTGCTTGCCAGGATAGGCTTAAACTTCCCTGAATTAGATGAATTGGTTAGAAAATGGATGGATGGGAGATCTTAAGCACTACTCTAAATTTTAAGATGCTTCCATTGTGAGTGTAGACACATCTTTCTCAGGTGAAACCAATCTGAAGTTCATTACCAGAACAACAATATTAAAAAATTCAACAAACAAGGCTAAGGGATTGCTGTCACTTATTCTTTTATGCATACTGTCTTTATGCAGAAATTACAAACATAAAAAATACTATATTAATTTCGACAAATGGATTTATGCATATAACACAAATCATGAAAACCAGCAAAGAATTCCATTAATATGGTAAGGTATTTCTCACTACATTTTTCCTCAGACAGCATACTCTGTTTCATTGTTGAAATCTCAAATGTGATTTGTTTTAAATAACCAAATATTCCCTGAATTTTGTGAAAAGGAAGTGTTTATTTTCTAAGCCCAATGTGAAGTAGTGAGTGAATAATATTTGAATACTGCCTGTTAATTGGGAACTAATCTGCAGAACGAGGCAGTGAAGGTCTGAATGAGTAATTAGTAATTAGGAAATACAGCTGACAGGAATGGCACTGAGTGGAGTTAGTTGCTCCTCTGAGCTAATTAAGAACCTTATAAAAATGGCTGGGAGGAAAAGATTTCCAGTCTGCTTCTAGGCTTCAGCCTTGAAGGAGTGAGTGTGATAGAGTCAGTTAGAGGAGTTCTCATTAGTATCAGATTAGGCTGGTTTACATGTCTGTGGGATTTGGTTGGCTATATATGCTTAAGACAATACAGCTTAGGCTGTACAGAGGGGTGTCAGGTTCTAGACAGGTAGACTGAGTAACAATTCATTTGCCTGGCTCAATGGAGATATACCCCCACTGGCAGTGTACTGCAAAGAAACAGGCTTGGTCAGCTGGCTGGAGGTGATAGTGGAATTGTTTGGCAAGGTATTGTCTAAGATAAAGAGCAGCCTGGATGGCATAGGTTGACTCCTGAGTACTGCCTGTGCATTACCATCAGCAGATAGATGGCCAGTACCAGAGATGAGAGCAAAAGGACCACAGACCACTGCTATTGTGTCAGGGATGCAAGGTTTGTTTACAGAGAGGCATCCCTGACCAAACAGGATCAGCTAATAAGGTCAGCTATTGGAAAAAGTTCTTGGTGAAATCTGTGCTTTGGGAAGAGTAAGAGCAAAGTGTTAAATTGAAGGAATTTTTGGTAAACATTGCAATTGGGCAACAAATTTAATAAAATTGAATACTCTTGTGCCTTATGTTGCGTAGTAAATGAAACAAAGTGTATATTAAGAACAGGGGTTCATCAGGTTGAATATTCTAGTGAATATTTAAAGATAAAAAAATGTAGAGTTACTGGGATGATAAGAAAATTTGAATTGCTGATAGTTTTGGGATTGTGGTGACTTGTGCTGGTGTTCATCATACCTTGGATACAATTATGATCATTAATTAAATGATTCAGAAAGATGTGATTACTAAATAAAACAATATTTCAAAAATATGACGACTTTTATAAAGTTTCTCCTCAAAGATACCACAGTCCTGGAATCCTGTTATAGAAAGAAATATATATATTTAAAAACACTAGTACATTGGTAAGAGAAAAAATATTGAGCAGCAGTTTTTCAAACTTAAAATTATTAATCTTAATTAAAATTATACAGTTATTTATGTACATTATCTGCCTTTAATAAGTATTCAGACCCTTCCTTTGGTGACCCACTTTGTGAAATTTCAAAATGGTGCATGCTCATTTTTAAACATAATCATATCTTCAGAATCTGAATGCTCTGAATGTTTGTTTTTAACGCTCATTAGCCTACTGTACATGGTTAAACGTATGCTTGATATCTCTACCTGACTGAAGGAACTTACAAAGACAGATGTAATTATTCAAAAATCATGTGAATCATTATTCAACCATTCAACTAATTGTGTGGCTGGTAGGATTGTTTTATGCAAATAAATTAATTTAGGTTTGCCATAAATAAATAATTCTGACCTTCCTATCGTTATTTCTAAAATATCATTTTTATTTACTTTAAAGTGTCATGATTGCATACTTTAAGCAACATAATATGAAACTTGTGTAAGGGTATGAATATTTAGCAAGGCACTGTACAATATATTTCAGTCTTCTTGGGTAATGTGTCAATCATACCAGAATTGTTCATTATTGAAATATTATTGTTCAGTATAGAATTATTGTTGTTCAGAAAACTTTCAAAAAAGTAAAACGTTTAAAGTTACGATTTTTATATAATCTAGTATATAATTACAGGTATTTAATAAGTAATTTGCTTTGCTGCTCTAGAGTGTTATGTTGAACATCTTACCTGATGTCTTCTCCATTCAGGAGAATCTATGCCTTATTCTTCCACTATACTTGATTCACTCCTTGGTTTCACTGGTACTTCACTTTTAATTAGTGGTGTCAGATCTTTTAGGAAAAAAAAGAAAGGAAATTCACAAATAGTGTTTTTACTTCCTTAAAATAATACATTTAATGATATACCTGCACATAACTTAATCTGTGGTTAATAACATATTAGCTAGACTCTCTTACTGTATGCTGTACTGCAATGCAAACTATATTGCTTTTAAATTAATAGAACACAGGCCTAAATTTTAATTTTAATTAAAATGAACAGTTCCTATGTAGGTAATAATGTTATTTTTAGAGTGCATACCTTCAAAGTCTATTAAAAGAATCAAATCATCATTTTTCATGTAGTTTCGGCGATAGAGGTCACTGTGAGGAAAAATGCCATTCCATCCCCAGGTCCAGCTTCGGTAGCAGTCACAGGTAGGGTCATATGTCCCCGTTTTTGAAGGATTATCCCAAAACAGCAAGTTATTCGAACCTAAAATCAAAGGACTCCTTAATATTCTTGGTATTTTCATTTAAAAAATATTTTTATTTTTCATAGAACCAAAGGTTAACGATGGATTAACTCAGATCATTCGGTCAATCTGTGTCTGTCAAAACGGTCAATAAAATCTCCGATTATTTTTTATTGATTACATCGGTTGATCAATAATTCTCTGGTATAACAATAATTGTTCCCAAATATTGTCTTATTCCCTAGATTCTGTCTCAGCTTTCTTTTATAATCCTTGCTCACCTGGTATGAGCTGCTTTCCACTGGTGGTGAAGCTCCTGGCAGATGACAGTCTAAATCGGATATCAGGGTCCTGGTCAACCACAGTGATTGTGACTTGTCTGTTTCCTGCTGGCCACTCCAAGGCAGCATCATATTCCCCACTGGTCAAATGGAAGAAAGCGCCTATATATCCATCTGCATAGGAGTTAGGAATAAGCTGTATCCCATATCCGTATCCCTCAGGGCTGTAAAAACGAGGGCTTTGGATGTAATTACCAACAGCAGATGTTTTAAGAAGACTGGTGAAGTTTTTTATCTGCCACACCCCACTAGGACAGCGAGTCTCTATTAGGTTGATATCATCAATAAAAATTCCACCAGTGGACTGAGTTGGGTCTCCTCTGATGCCTTGAAATGCATAGCGGAATTTCATGTCGGCTTTTAGGGGCACATGGGCGATTTTCCAAGAATGGTCTCCATCCCCTGGAATGAGTTTGAATACAGTTATTGGTTAACATTTATTAACAGGTTTAATGTTTCCACTACCATTTGTCTAATTACAGTTCATTTATTGAAATGGTTTCAAGATATGCAAGTAAAACTTCTACATAAACCCAAAACTACAAACTCTGTTTAAAATACCACTATTCAGGGCCAAAAATACATTGTAACATCGCACTAAAGAAAATGTCTTTTCAAATTCGGATGTCAAATCATAAATGTATTTCATATCTTAAATCATTAAAATATCTCCAACAATGCATACATGCTATATGTCAACAATGTAAATGGTTTATTTTGATTTTCAGAAACTTTGCTGTTTGTATTGCACTGACCTGAGAATGTTTGTACTTCCACTAGTTTCTGGACATTTCCTGCCTTGTCGTCCATTCTCACCCACACAACCAGCTTGTCCTTTGGACTTCCAGTCATTTTGTAGAAAAATTGGAGACACTGCAGTTTTCTCTTGGGATATAGTGTCCTTGACTCCAGAAAGGCAGACTCATCTGTCTGCCCAATTTGAGTGTTAAAATACATGAAAAATCCAGAGTCTGCAGAATTGTAAGGAAAAAAATCAACAGTGCTCCTTTTTTCCATATAATAATTACAAATTATTTTATAATAAATGCAGTTTCTCCAAACCTTCCAGTTTCAGAATTCCAAATGTTCCAAAAAGTTCTCATACTTACAAACTTCTGTTTTTACCTTTGCACTGGCCAAGGAGAGTGTGATCTTCGGCCTGTGGTGTACTCTTGGTATGGACCCAATCATCGTCATCATTGGGATTCTGGATCATTCCACAGATGTTAATGTATTCAAATGCACACTGGTCCAAGAGAGTGAGAGATGATGCTAAGAAAAAAAATGTTACAAAATATGTTCTAAGTCAACATTTTAATTTTATATAAATTTATAAACTTTAAATAATACATAAATTAAGACTAAATACGCCTGAGAACACAGTTCCAACTTGTCATCACAGTTCTGTGCGAAATTAGTTCTAATTTGTTCGCTCTATTCATCTAAATGTATCACAAGTCCAACAAATTCTGCAACTTTGCTTATGTCAAAATGTATTATAAAATGTATTTATATAATTAGTATTGGAATGATCTATTTTTAATTCCTTATATAATTCCTCTGCCAAATCAAAACACATGTTTATTTACAGTATGTATTTATATATGAATGAGTACTCACAGCAGTTATACATGCGATTCAACCTGAGTAAGTCAAGCTTGCTGAAGTCCAAATATTGTCCAATGACGCTGGTTAATTCTGGAATCTTGGCAGTAATGCTTGGAACTCCTGGATTCTTGTTGAAGGAGTAAGCTCCATAATGCATGATAGACTCGTAATCATAGGGTGTATTGAGGTCTGTTATGAAGCTGTCGTCATATTTAACAAAATTATGTTCCATGCCTGTGAAATAATAATTCAAAAAATTATAATTAAAAGCATATTAAGAAGTTATAAACATAAAGGCTGTACATAGGCTCTTTCATTCAAAGATAGAAAGTGTATGTTATCTATGTAATTTGTGCTGATGCGTTCACTTATGTTTGATACAGAAGTATATGTACATATGCACATCATACATAAAAGCTGAATATTGATACTTGTTTTTTAATTCTTAAAATGAGTTCTGACACACGTAGTATAAAACAGCACAAGTCAAGGAAATAATGGAGAAGGTTTTTGTTTTCTTGTATACTTAAAATGTAAAGTACTTCTGCAATACATGTGCTATTATGCATCGTATTACAGTGTGTCCTAAATCGTTATTAGCATAAATTCCATAACAATAGGCTAAAGTTTTTAAGCATTTTAAACTGCATTTTTAAGAGATTATAATTTGGTATTATCTGACATGGGCTAATAAAATTTACTATGTCACAAATAAGTGGTAGAGTGCATTGTATTGAATTTTAAGAATCCATGACCCAGAATTTAAATACAGTCATATCTGGAAAACAGTTAAAATGAACTGTATTAGAAGCTCACCTGGAAGTACTTCATTCCACCAGATATTGATGTAATCATCACGGTCAGTGCGTGATTGCTCATGGTAAAACCCCAAGGCATGCAGTAGCTCATGTTCAATGGTCGCTTTGTAGTCGCATCCTTCACCAAGTGACAACTGCTGTCCTGTCTGTAAATCCCCAACCTGAGACCAACACCTACATCAAAACATTAGGCCAGTGAATTCTACATACCTGTTGTACAGCTCACTTCAGAATTTTTCCACTCCTACATAAGACAGTTCTAGCTGGACTGAGGATGGAATCATTTCTGAAATCTGAGTTTAAGTGTGTTTGACAACAAGTACTTTACTCTGGATCTGCTGCAAGCACTGCGTTTCTTTCTCCTCTGGGCCTGTGCCAAATGGAGCTACATCAGCTTCATATGACCACCTCATGTATCCACAACAGTTAGCATGTGTGGCAGAATAGAGCAAGTATTAAGTTTGGAGTGCTGAATCCACAGTCATTGGTTGCACAACCTCTATATGATCTTATTGTATTTATACAGAATGTGTAACAATTTCATTACTTCATAGTGCAGTCAAAATGTGAATGCATACAGTATATACATTACTTATTTTGCTTTTATTATTCTGATAAATATCTTATTACCCTCATCAAACTCCATAGGGACTGATGCCTCTAGACGTGACTTTAATCAAAGGTACACTACATATTCAGACAATTTTCCTCTTATTGCTAAAACCTTTCACATTTTAAGCATTTCTGTGATCCAAAGAGTAGATTTTACATACCCATCTAATTTTTCAAACTTTATGAAGCTTTTTTCTCCTTCATAAGGTTTAAAGTCCACACAAGACTTAAGTCGGTACATTTCAAAAGCCTGAAAAATTACCCCTTTAGCATTTAAGTCTGAAAGATAAAAATATGTATTTCTAAGTAATGCATTCAATTACATATATTTCACTTTTTACTTTAAAACAATTTACATTAGAAAAAAACTAGTGAGTATGTGAAATAGGAATGTGTATGCTATAAAAACATATCCGGCTGAATACAGATCCCATGAAGAGCCTTGTGTGAGTTATGTTATGTTCAGCTGATACTTTGTGATACTCAAAGTGATACTCACTATCATCTAATTTTGTGTGGACAAGGACAAGGGTGTGCCAATTTCCTCCAGCATTCCAAAAATGTCTTGGTGTCTCTAAACTGTCTGTGCTTGTGTTTACAACACACTGTGCTTGTGTGTTTGTGTGTGCTTTTTGATGGACTGGTTAGATCATCCAAGATCCAAGATGATCATCCAAGATGTGGTCCCACCTTGTGTCCTGTGTTTCCAGGATAGGTTACCATAATCCCTTATCAGAAATTGATTTCTGACAATGGGTGAATAGATAAACAAGGGGGAAACAGTATTACGTTACAAAATATTTTCAGATACATTTTATTACAGTCTAAAATGCATATAGAAAGTTGGCCTCATTTTTGTGCGAGAAGTTAAACATTTCTACAGTTTCTATGAACTTGGACTGAGATGCACTGTATGTAACATTTACTACAATAACATACTCTTTTTAAATTTAGCTTTCATAATTACAAATTAATATTTACCCAGACTATCAGTCAGAATATAAGGAATGGGAAATTTCCATCTGTAGGCAGGGTTTATGAGAGCATTGCGACCACGCTGTAAAAATAAATACATTACATATTATTAATTATTACACTTACACAATAAAATAAACTTTTTTTATTACGAGCTGTAAGATATGGTTATCATTTACAATTAAAATAAGACATTCTAAAACCATTTCAAGAACAGCAGAAAAAGAAGTAACATAAAGAGATGTACTGCTACAGACGTAATCATGTGCTGAATTTGATAATGGACTTCCAACTGTTATGCTGGGCAGCCCCATTACTTTCTGGCAGTAGGACTTACACTCCGAATTTTGCAACTTCATTAAAAACCTGTAGACCACTTTCCCAATTAATAGTTATAATCAAATCATTAAGGTCTGTGTTGGAATGAAAAACATACTTCAAATTTGCATGTCGGTACTGAGCTACCCTGAGATAGCAACTGGCAAAAGTAATTGCCATACCAAAGTCAAGTACAGACCTTGAATTAACAACTATATGCCAAGATACCGAACATAAAGGTCTCTGAACATCTAATGTTCCAGCTTGTAACCATACAAGCCACTCACCACTTATGTAGAAAATGGCTTACAGAAGAACTTGAAGACATTTTTGTACTATTGGCTCTTGTAACTGCCTATGACACATTGTGGCACACAGGTGTATTTAAATAGGTCTTTCCTATTTAGGCTGTGAAAGCAACTGTGGACTGTAATAGGCAACTCAGAATCTAACCTTAAAATGTTTACAAATGCACATGTGGAAGACAGGACATTAGATTACTGTAGCACTGTGTGCTGGAGTCAGTTCTATACAAATGATCTAGGTCATGTTCATGTTCAAGTTCATGTTGACAAGCAATGTTTTGTTGTGCTGTTTAACCTTCATCATTCCATTTTCCTGACCATGAGCTCATGACCACTTTTAAAATTTGCTAACTACCATAGCAGAACGCATACTAAAACACTATGTATCTCAGCCTCTGCCATGGTATAGTCAGCACAGATGTGCTATGCACCTGTTTGGTGCTAGTCACTAAAATAAATTAAAAAATGAATAAATCACTGTTTGCTCCTACTCCTGTCTCCTTGTCCTTGCTGACCTCACTTCTCCATATATCTATTGGCACCGAATAACTTGCAAGCTGGTAAAAATCTTCCAAGTGGCTCCTCAACTACCACTCTACAATAATTGGCCTCTATCGTGCTGCATACCTGACCAGGATTGGAGACACAAATTGGAACGAAAAATAGGAATAAATGGAATTAAAGAATACATTCTTCATGCCTGGTGACATACATTGACCAAATCATGGGCACAGACCATTGTGCCATCAATTTTCACTGCTGGGTCTATGTACTCTTTGTGAGGTCTTGGGGAAATGTAGACAATTCTGCATATTTTGAGGGCTCTTCTTTCACAAACCTCTGGGGCTTTTTAATAATACTGAACTAAAAAATGAATAAGCTATTTCTTGGTTCCACTGTTTTGTATTTTAGCAAATATCTAAAACACGGTAATTCACTAATTTATAAACAAATAAACATAGTTTGTAAAACTACTGTTCCAAGATAGCTCTTCAAAATTTGTTGAACACATTCATCCTAGAAAGTATTGAATTCAGTTATTTAAGATACAGTGCAGTTTCATCACTCACAACTGAAACAATACTACTGATGTATCATGGCCTTTTAAACAAACGGGTTTCTATTCCTAGTGTATTCATTTTACTAGTAAGCAAAATTAGTCAGATAGAGCAAACTAGAGATAGAGGTATGCAAAATCAAGGTTCTATATATTACAGTTCAAAGTAATTGCAGAGATGAAGAAGGCTAGTGAGTTACTGTATGTATTGTACAACCTAATAAACCTAACCTTTGACATCCAGCCAAGGGGTGGCTTATTCACCAGTTTTATGAATTTATTTATGGGGCACTTTAATCCTGTCAATGATTCTATGCAGAGGTCCATCATTGCAAAATTATTTTACAATGAATTTTTAAATGCTGACATCAATAATTCAATAATGTGTCTGATTATTAAAAGTTATCTAATCAGTATTTTCGAACTGTTATTGCAGGATTTTCAAAATTAATAATTAAAAACCAAATATGGAGGTTTAGCTCATTACATTAAAAAATGGATGCATCCATGTATTAATGCATGACCTTGGGAGCTTTGGCTATTCTTAATCTAATCTTAATGCCTGTGGGAACAATCTTAGGTTTCTTCACTGTTAAATATTAAAACACCTAATAAGGAAAATGATTTATGTGTGTTAATATTTTCTAGATAAAAGCATGGCTGCACTAAACCAAAATACTTTTGGAGCTTGATAATAAGTGTTTTATTATAGATCTCAAATGCCCATGCATGGTAATTGCTGCAGATGCTTAAAATAAAATGTAATGATTACACTTGTAATCACAGAACAGATACTCATTATTCATTATTTTAAAATTGTATCACCTTTTAGTAAAGCCACTGACACTACAAATTCATTTTCATATCATAGATCTAGTGATATACAGTATGCTTCTGAAATTAAATGTGACTATATTTTTAAATGCATATTTCCATGTCTTATATATTGTTATGGTTTGGGGTTAACTAATCATTTGTTGTTCCCAGCAAAATTACCTTATTCTCTTGGTTTGATATGGTAGGTATTGTCTAAGTGTTTACATGGTTGTTCTTTGTCCTTGATGCAATTAAACATGGGACATTTTTTCTTATACTGTGTATTTGCAGAAAAGGCTGATTTCCTAGTTGTTTATCCCCAGGCTAAAAGACATCTCTCATGGTTTAGTCGTTGAATGGTTTAAATATTGAAAAAGGATACTATCTGCTTAGCTTTATTTAGAATGGTTTAGTCTGGATTAGAATCCTTGTTTATTATAACACAGGTTCCTTCCTTGCCTTGTTTACATCTCAATTATAGGGAGAATTCTCAGGTTTTGCAGTCTATAATAAAACAGGACCTTGATACTCACAGAACTGTAAAAATCTGTATATAGCCTGTTATATGCTTAGTATTCCTGAGTTCAGAGAGTAAAATTAGAATTGATATTTTCCTGTAAAGCCAGCTGGTGTCTGAACTTAATTTTGGTTATGATAACTCCTAATTTTATCATTTTAACATCCCATTTTTTATAACAATATTTACAGATAACATATGCATAATTTGTAATTCAGGGTTATATATCTTTTTGGTACTACTCTTGAACAAAGATACATGTTTATTATTTATAAGAGTAGTCCATAATTGTAGATGACTCTTATGAGACAGTACTGGTGTCCTATTATGAAGATCAAGAAGTGTGAAACCTATCGTAGAGTCACTTACTCTTTATGTGTTATTACAAACTACAGTGTCAGCTAATAACAGCTTATAGATTTCATGTACTGACCTTTGTGTGAAAAAAATGACTTATGCACAATGTGAAGATTGTATACATTATTGGTTACCACATTCTAAAAAATATCATTGTCATGCTGCTGATCACAGTTAAGAAAAGGCAAGTTTAATTTCTATTATAAAGGGATGGATTATAAAAATAAGTTAAGGAACAGAATATCTTCAGTATTGAAGAGGACATAGATTGTGATTTAATACAAGTACTTAAAATTCTAAAGGTTTTAGACAAATCAACCCAACCTACTTCAGAACAAGCAGTGGAAAAAGAACCTGAGGGCACCAGTAGAATTAATAATGTGCACACCCCCTCCTCAGGCTTGTTCTAGCTTTTAGGCTATTTTAGGCTGGTTTAGTTGGGTGCTATAGAACCGTATAGAAGTCTGGTTTACTGTAGTACTTCTAGTTTCATAAATCTTGTTTACAATAATTGTAATTTATTTTAACAAATATAGTTTTAGAATGGTTTTATAATACTTACAGGTAATGCCATGTCTCCTTCAACAAGTGCCGTTTTGGATGCTGTTAAAAATATTTTTAAATCATCACAAAGTTTTTTTTTTCATTTTATACTGGCAAGACATTTTGAAGACATTTTATTCACACAGGTTTATTTAATAGTGACAATAATAATTTGTTTTAGCCTAAAGACTCCACAGCCAAAACTTTGTGTTTCTTTTCTTCTCTTTTCAGCATGGAATAAACCTTAACTTATTTCTTTGCAGCCTACAGATGCTGGTGCAGCTACCTACTTGAACATTTATCTTAAACATATAATTAAATAATTCAGTTAAACTAAACAAATCTGCTGTGTGCTATACTACAATATATACATAATCATGGATTTCTAAAATCTCTTTAATTTTATCTTTTGATACTTGATAAACAATTGACGTGGGTAAAAATGTAATAATAAACAATGTAAAAAGACTTACCCCGATTAAGGAAAGGAATGTCATATCGTTTCTGTTCCTCATCAATTGCAAATGCTGGGGGGAAAAGATGTGTTTTTATTTAAACCCTGCATATTACTGATAATAATAAAAAAACTACAATCACAAAAACCTTTACAAAAAAAGTTTCAACATTACATATACACTGTACACAAAACAGCCTGTGAACACATCCATAACATTTACCGTAAGATTTTAAATAGCTTTTCTGTCAGACAACATACAGCATGACAGCATTATTATATAATATTTTTCACACTTATATTCAAAGATATTGCACAGAATAAAAATATAAAAGCATTAACATACATTTTTCTCTAGATGTTCGTCTAATCTGAAAATAAATGAAAAAAGGTTATTAAATGAAAATATTGTGGCAGCTATTAAAATTCTTAAAGTACAGTGTACACAATTTAAATGACCTTACTGTGAAAGCAAAAGAGAAGGTGAACAGTCCCACAAAGCTGATGAATCTGAGAAATTCCATTTTGTAGTGGGGAGTCATTAAGGCTGACTGGTATTAATAACAATTGGGGATGCTTAAATACCTTTTCAGAAAAGAGTACTTTGAACTAAATGGGATATTGATGAACTGAAATATAAAATAATGATTGCATTGCCATTTACTGATAGCACCCTGTTTGTAAGGTTAAGGTCTAAATGTACAGGTCTCCTGGTTTTACTGCTGTTTGGGTCATACCAAAGTTCAATAACCATAAACTGCTTAACACTCCCCTGCTATCATTAGCACTATACACTATGGTTTACATACATGCATGCATATTGTTAGGTAATCTTTTTTCTTGCAGATGGAATTCTGCAGGTTTTAAAAAGCGTAATAATAACAATAATAATAAACTTTATTTTATATAGCACCTTTAAAGGTGGCTTCTTAAAGCGCTTTACAGAATGACATCAACAATAAATAAAAAGAATACACAAGATAAAACACAATTACAATACACAGAGGAGACCGTGGATGGTGGTACTAAGTATAGTAGGAGCAGAGGGGTTTTGAGTCTGGATTTGAAGGAGTTTAGAAAAGGTGACTCTCTGATATCCTTGGGGAGAGAGTTCCAGAGCTTGGGGGCATAACAGGAGAAGGCCCATCACTCATAGAATGTAGACGGGCTTGGGTGAAAGTTAGGAGATCAGAATTAGAAAAGCGAAGGTTTCGAGGTGGGGAGTAGGGCGATAATAGTTCAGACAAGTACTGAGGTGCCAAGCCATGCAGAGCCTTATAGGTGAGAATGAGGATTTTAAAGTCCACACAGACTTTGACAGGAAGTCAAGGCAAGGACTCCAGGATAGGCGTAATGTGATCACTTGCACTAGACCTGGTCAGGATTCTGGCTGCTGCATTTTGGATATACAGTACTGCAGTTCATTCAATGTAGATTTAGATACCCCAGCGAGTAGAGCATTACAGTAGTCAATTCAGGAAAACACAAATATGTTGATCAGCTTTTCAGCCATAATTAGTGATAACATAGGGCGTAGTCTAGCGATATTTCTGAGGTGAAAAAAAGATGTTTTGACAATATACTACACATGTGGGTTGAATGTTAACCCAGAATCCAATATCACCCCAAGGTTTTTCAATTTAGACTGAAGCTCAAGTACAGAACCATTTACAGATAGGGTTACAGGATTGGCTTGAGAGCCACTTCATAAATAATTTTATGAAGTGAAAGCACTGTTCTAGAGTCCTGTTCAGAACTTGAGCCAGTGCTTTCACTTCATTAAACGATTCTATCAATTAAGTAACTAGTCATCAGCTGTATCACTTTGCAATTCTTAACTGGCAACCCACTGACGCCAAGAAGGTGTGAGCCTGGCCAGTACCTTTATTAGCTTTCCTGGGAAAACTAAGGTTGCTGCTGGAAGACCTGTTAGTGGGGCCAGTAGGGGGTGCTCACCCTGCTGTCTGTGTGGGTTCTAATGCCCCAGTATAGTGACGGAGACACTGTAATGAAAAAAGGTGCCATCCTTTTGATGAGACATAAAACTAAAGTCCTGATTCTCTGTGGTCATTACAAATCCCAGGGCATTTCTCAAAAAGGGTAGGGGTGTTACTACTCTAGGGTGTTACCCCAGCATCCTAGCCAAATTTCCCATTGGCCATTACCCATCATGGCCTCATAGTAATCCCCATCTATGAATTGGCTTCATCACTCGGTTCTCACTGCTCTCTGTAGAGTTCCTGGAGTCCTCACCTAGGTGCTGTGATGTGACAGTGTTTTCTTCTGTTTCTTCTGTCTGTATCTTTTTTGTCAGACCACTGACAGGGGCTATGAATCCCTTATTTAGCTAGAGCTCAGGACCTGTTATTGGTGGGAGTGTTTTGAAAGGGCCTTGTGATGTCTTGATTGTGGGCGGAGCTAACAGCTCAGGGCTCAATGCAGAGGGTAACAATGCACTGTGTATTCACACTGTGTTCTAGAGCACTCCTCTCAGTCTGAGGCCCAGTTAGACCTGTCTTGCAATACTTCTGAACTCAGTGGTACTTAACGAGCATCTGTGCATGACAAACCTTTGATCAAAGGAAGGGAACCTTAAAGAACAATGGGAAAAATCCATCAAGGGAGACACTGGTCATTATACTACATTCTACTGTCCCAGAAAAACATAGACTCTATAATCTGAAATCCTATATAATGCCCAAACAGTCCAACAAGAGTGATATGCATTACCTCCTAAATAAAACAATACAACCACATTCCACAAATTAGGAACTCAGAATTTCCCTTCATTCTGTCCTTCATATCTTGTCTTTCTGGACTGGACCTTTTGCGTTTCCAAGAAATTAATTAACTAGAGTAAACTAGAAGATGTCCTCTGGTCTTCAGCATTTACCAGTCTTGTAGCTGGTTAAACTACCTATTGGTTTTTAAACTCTAAGAACTACAAATGTTAGCCTAACACCTTTCCAGCCCTAATAACTGAAAGCTTCCTGCAGTCTTTCACATTACCTCTGTACTTTCCAGTTAAAATCTGGTCCTCTGTCCTCCAGAGTTCTTTGAAGATGGATCCAATCCCAATCAACACTGGAGCAGTTAATAATTCCACAGATGCTTATGTACTGAAAGACACACCAGTCCAACAAAGTGAGAGAAACTTGATATACCACAGTACACTTTTTAACACGGTGTACTGTGATAAAATTAAAGTATAGTGAAGGACAGTGTGAGGATGTCACGCCCTCTACATCTAGAGGGTGCTCCTTCTCTGTCCTGTTCCTAGTTTCCCTGTGCTTAACTTGTTCTTCCAATGTGTCTCATTGCGTCTCCCTATCTTCCTCGATTGGCATTGGGTTCAGATACCTTGAGCCCAGCGCGAAGTCCTGTGTTTGCTCTGTTCCTGCCGCTTCGCATAGGGTCTTCTCGTCATGCCGGTATATCTCAGCTCCTAGCCTCCGGCTTCCGTGACAGAGGAGTTACTACAGTAAGTTACTGCAGTAATAACAAATATTCAAAGCATTTTCCAAATCAATTCATGGTATCACACAGATTACCATTGTAGTGTCACATAAAATGACAGAGTCCTGATGTTGGTGAAAGAAGAGTCATTTATTAAGCTTGCAAGCGGGAGAGTAGCTTCCCACAGCCAGTCTCACTGAATAGTTATAAAGTTAGTCTTTTTATACAGTGTAACAAAGTATTAGCACATACATCATATGACTTGCTTAACTATCGACTCAATATTTTCTGTTATTATGATGGTCTAACAGAAAAGACCTCCTTATGGCACTTTGCCAGAACGCAGCATTCACAAAACAGGATGTTACAAGTTCCGCATTGATGTTATATGTAATCATAAATGGACAGCGCTTGTTGTACGTTTCCTGCTGACTGGCAAAGAATATGCAGCTTGATCTTTAGGAGATAAGTTGTTAAAAGCATTTATTCTGGATTCCTCACCATGTTATTATTATGTTCCAAAATAGAGAGAGTGACCACTAAATAAATATCTGAGTGACAGGAAAATCTGAGGCATGTGAGAAATTGCACAGGGATTTTCTTTATTCTCCAGCACAGTTATGGTGAAAATAAGTTATTTAATTGATGAAATCGATAGACAAACAGGACAAATATTTATTAACAATAAACAACACAATTTATACAACACACAATGTTATACAATAATATATAAAAATGCCAATGTACCAGAGGCCTTAAGAGTTAGAAAGCCCAGATTTTACACCTGTAATCTAAAAGCACTAGGAACTGCCTTAACAAGCCAAAAAGAGAACAACTCTGCATCTATTTTAAAAATAATATGACTAAATCTACCTTATGACAACATGGGTGCTACAAAAAGGCTGGGAATCAATCCCCCTATTCTAAAAATGTATCACCAACTAGGAGAGAATATTTTTAGCCTGAGGATTCCACAATAAAGGAAATCATAGTTTCCTAAAATGAATGAGGGTAACAGACTCTTTAAATGCTGAGATTACAAAACTAGAATCTAGTCTCCAGGACTAATCAGAACAAGGTCCTTTTGAATGGCACGAGCTTTGGGAAAGAGGAGTGTGATGGGTGATATTCCTTTTTTATTCTTGTGTCTTCCCTATCTCATCTTCTTTTTTTTGCTGTCTTCTGTGGCTTATGATTCTTATGATTTACCATAAAGTTAATTAACCAGAGTAAACCAGCAGGAACCCCTCTGATCATCTGTGTTAACCCGCTTCTTAGTTTAACTGTAGCTAGGTAAACACTTCAGATGACACCCATTGTCTTAGTCTTTCTGAATAGATTGTTGTAACAGAAGAAATAAGGTTCTTGATCCCGAGATGAAGTAAAACAGATGAGTTTATTGCATGCAAGGAACAATAAAGCCGAAGTCTTGTTTCCCGCAAGAAACAACAAAACCGAAGTATTGTTCCCCGTACTGTTACAAACTTTTGGGTTATATAGTGTTTTCTTCTCCGTTTCTGACGTCACTCGGTCTGATGGTAAAGAGGGGGGTTCATGGTATTTGGCCTAGCTTGCATCTGCAATCCTTATCAGTTAACCCCCCTTTCCTGCCATAAACCCCAGCTTGTGACTTAGAAGTCTAAACCCCCTACAGAAAGGATTAAATTCAAACCCCCGTCTTCACATCTTTCTTCAGATAGATAGATGATACTTTATTAATCCGGTAGGGAAATTGATGAGGCCTTGAGTAGAATGTAAATGCAAACATTATAGTGTTTGATACCACTAGCTCCTAATATGTGTACCTTGGTAATTATTTCAGTCCTTCTGGGGATATAAAAGTGATATCCTGCCTTTTAAAAGACGTTGAGAGATATTGTACTTTACAAAACATTGTTCCTTTCCGATACTTGCAAAATATTATTATTAGAAATAATAAGATTATTGTTATTATCATCTTAATTAATACATTACATGTATTGTCCTTCTATGATTTCAGCCTGCACATCTGTAATAGTACAGTTCATTATATTTTCTTATTTTAATCTTTGTGTGTAGCCATGGCTAAAAGCTTTAAGTAACAAACAAGAATATACAGTAATAATAACAAGCATGAAAACAAGTAATAATCATTTTTTGGACTTTCCTCATTTCATATAACACCTCGCTTGCTTATTACATGCCCAGATCTTAAAATATTAAAAGATATTGAAAAATCTAATTTATTGAAATGTAGGTACTTTACCATTTGATTTAGTTGTAAAAAACATTATGCAGCTTACAGAAACCAATAAATAAAATGAAAACACATACTGTAATGCCATGATGTCTACCTGATGTCTACATAATCATCTTGGTCAGTACAGAACTTTTCATAGCAGAAGCCCTCTGTGGTTACTTTTATTTTACTTTTACTCTGTGTGAGAGTTTCTGGCCTGTTTTCAAGTCTGCAACATAGGACCTAATGGAACTTTTCAGATCTAATCTTTTATCTTAGTTTTTGCTCTATGTTCCTTTGTAGATGTTTCACAGCAGTTTTTAATCAAGATAGGGTAGTTAACTCAATGCAATTCTTCAAAACTGGTTTCAAGAACTTTGAACTTTTACAGATGTTTTAAAGATGATTTCAACCTAATCTGGATTGCGTAAAAAAAGCACTGTGGTACACTGACAGCATTTGTACATCGATTATACAGTATTTCAGCAAGTACTTTAAACTGTCATTTACTAAATAAAACATTTATTTTTTAGCATGTCTATCCATATGAAACTTTATATACAATTTTTTTTTCCATTAATAGGGTTTAAAATCGACACAGATTTTAGGCAGTACATTTTTAAATGGATATAACATGGCACCTTTGCCATTTTAATCTGAAACACAAAAATGGGACCATTGCTACACTCTTGAACTGAATTACAGACTCATACAGGGGTGCTTCCTTTAACCATTTATTCAAATGTTTGTAAATACATTCCAAATGAAGGTGGTACACTAAGTTGTGCAAAAAACTGCCTTGCAGGAGCACAAATGGTAAATGTACATTGTCTGAAGAACCCCTTGCATGGACTAACATCTTGATTAAGGTGGAGTTTGAACCACTGATGCTTTAGAGGAATGCGTGATCTGCATGTTAACCAGAGAACTCATGTTTCACATCTTTTTACCCATTCTAAAATGAAAGTTCCCTTAAGACAAATACAAATTCATGGCCAAAGTAGCATTGATAAACTATACAGTTATAAATACAGTTGCAAAGGAACAAGTAATAGGTTTATTCCATGCTGAAAAAAAGAAGAAAGAGAACACAACGTTTCGGCCGTGGAGCCTTCTGAAGGCTCCACGGCCGAAAAGTTGTGTTCTCTTTCTTCTTTTTTTCAGCATGGAATAAACCTATTACTTGTTCCTTTGCAGCCTACGCATGCTGACGCAGCTACCCACCTGAACTATAAATACAGTCGCATGGTCAAATCTGAATTAAGAAATAATTCAGAAGTTTTTACAAAGCTCTAACATGAGTATGGTCAATTTTGTATCTTTGTTACCTAAATATACAAACAAAGATGACCTAGTTTTCCAAAACCACTCTTTTTCAAGATTAACCCCAAGATGAATTTATTGAGTGTGGTAAATTAATTCTGAATAACAACAGATATTTGTGCATAAGAACAGATTTTGACCAATTTTCTATTAATAAAATGTATCCAAATATAATGATTATCAATAAAACAAAGACACTCAGAACTAAGTTATAAATATCAGAAAAAATAATTAATTTTATACAAAACAATATAATATAATAATAAATTTCATAAATTAGATATAATGTTTAAACTCATGAATTTCAATGGGAACTATGATGGAACTATGCTGCTATGATGTCTATCAATATTTCTAAGGAAACCACAAACAGTAGAGCTCACAGTTGGTATTATTGTTCTCAAGTTCTTTTGCCAAGTATAATCTGTATATATTCGTAATACATCCCCAGGCTGAGTACTGTATATAGAGAAATGCATAAAGTCACAAAATAATGAGCAGGATCCTGATATTGAAAGTGTTAATATCACAGCAATTCAATTACAGGTTTCTAAATATTTCCTTGTGTTTAAATCCCTTTTCATTAAAGAACAGTGGTTATTATCTACTTTTCAACAGCAATCTGAAACATGAAATGAAGAATTTTAACAACTGTTTTCACTCCGATTCCTCTAGCTTTTTTGAAGGACAGAAGTTGTGCCTCACTAGTGAATACGGGGTAAATATATTTCTATTTTTTTAACTGTAATGTAAATCTGACTAATTTGAAATATGTCTGTTGATCCTTTATATTTTGAATACATTAAATTAACATACAACATCAAATTAAGTGTGGCTCTCTGTTAAAAACCAGCCCAGTATGTTTCACATGTCATGTCAATTACAATCACTGCATACAATTGAAATGTATAATTAAATTAAGAAATACAGAAAAGGGAGAAAAAATGTTTTACTGTCAGTTTAATTTAAAGCATGAAGATCCATTATCTTTGTTTCCTTATTTACATCAATTTATTTCCTCAGAATTGTCTTTAATATCTTTCTTACTGCACAGTTGTAATTTGCAAGTATCTGATTGAAAAAAACAAACTATAAAAAATCCTTTACCTTACCCACAAATACTGTATTTTTCTTATTTTTGGTTAATCTTTTGCTTTCTAAAAAAGAGCTGCCACACTGTATAAGCACATAGTTAAACATCCATTAAGAACAACATTCAGCATTATTCCATAATTGCTGGAATTATAATTCAGACTAAAAAAAGAAAGACATTCTCTTAAATGGTCATTCATTAATAATAAGAACAATGTGTTAATGTCATAATTCTATGTCAGACAGGTATAATCCACAGCTGAAGTGCAGGTCTATCTATTTTAATGTCATTAAAAAGTATGTACTCTATAAATTACCTCTTAGTTTTCTGTGTTCTTGAAGAATGCATTCTGAGACTTGCAGTAATAATTTTTTTTATTGGTAAACTAAATTTTGGATCTGTTTCATAGGCTAATTTGATACCTTCAGTCTTTTTTAAGATTTGGCCTTGGACAAATTTGTTTTCTTCCATTTCTTTCTTCTTTTCCTCCCATTCTTCATCCGTGTCATCCAAAGGTGTGCCCCTTAACTCTGCCATTTGCTGAAAGTCCCTGGATTCAACCTCTGCACTGTAAAACAAACAAAAACCTGTCAAAAGACACTCATATACAAATAAAACCAGAGTTATCAGGAAAGTGGACTTTGTTCATTAAATGATAATGTCATCACCCAAGTTCTTTAAATATGAATAATAATTCCTTACACTTATATGGCACTTTTCTGGACACTCCACTCAAAGCGCTTTGCAGGTAATGAGGACTCTCCTCCACCACCACCAATGTGTAGCATCCACCTGCATGATGCGACGGCAGCAACAATGCGCCAGAACGCTCACCAGCTCAGAGCAGCTATCAGTGGGGAGGAGAATTGAGTGATGAAGCCAATTCATAGATGGGGATTATTAGGAGGTCATGTCCAGTAAAGGTCAATGGGAAATTTGGCCAGGATGCCAGGGTAACACACCTACTCCTTTCTAGAAACACCCTGGGATTTTCAATGACCACAGAGAGTCAAAAACTGGATTTGTCATCTGAAGGGCAGTGACTTTTTACAGTATAGTGTCCCCGTCACTATACTGGGATATTAGGACCCACACAAACCACAGGGTGAGAGCCCCCTACTGGACCCACTAACACCTCTTCCACCAGCAACTGTAGTTTTTTCCCAGGAGGTCTCTCATCCAGGTACTGACCAGGCTCACACCTGCTTAGCTTCAGTGGGTTGCCAGTTGTGAGTTGCAGGGTGATATAGCTGCTTTCAAAATCATGACCACAGCTACAAAGGAATAAGACCACTTTCACAGATAGATAGTAATGATGATACTAGCAAACATTCTAATGCCACAGATACTTTATATACTTTAAAGTTGATAATAAAGCTGACATTAAAATTGTGAATAAAGAACATCATAATATGGTGTTTGTAAAAGTAGAGAAGTTATTTTCATTTAAGAAATAAGCCTAAGTATTTTCATCAATCAGTTGTATTTTTACATACTGTAAGCATTGTGCACATGATATAAGCCACTCATTGTAAAGTGATAAGATGAAACAGAATTAAAAACAAGTCACCTTTTGATTAGATCTTCCCTATTATATATGCAGGCAACGTGGGTCATGTTGCTGATATAGTATGTACAGTATATGCAAAGAAAATGCTGCTTACATTTCTAAGAACTTAACACAGTCTTTATGTCCATAAATTGCTGCCAGCCTTATAGGCTTGTCACCAGAGACGTCCTCCTTATCTATTGGGGCATGCAGAGAGTGCAGCATTCGGAGAACCCCTAGTCTTCCTGATTCAGCTGCAAAATGTGCTGGAGTCCATCCAGAGTCAGTCCTGAGGCAGGGACGAGCCCCATTTTCTATCAATATCTTTACAGTTTCAGCCTGCCCTGAAGGAAAACACCACATCATTCAAAACTACTACACACAATGCAAGGCAAATTACTGTTGGGAATTGTAGAAAACTTGCTATAAACTTGTAAGTGCTGTTGTTTTTGTTCACAGCAATGCAAGAAAAAGAAGATTACTTCATCGCTAGAGATCTCATTACATAGATTCAGATGATCTACTGGAGATTCACTGGAGAGCCCCATCCTAGCAGATTATAAAGGTAACCATCTAAAGACTTGGAAACCTTAACCATAATCAACAAAACAAATGGCATGTTCAATTTAAAAACAGAGTGAAATGTATTATTATTTATATAATGATAGTATCCTTCAACCCTCAAGGACCAGAGTCCCCCCTCATTAAACAGAATACTTGCATTAATAGACCAATAATTTAAACTTAGTTCTTAATCTTTAAATAACGGGGGGTTAAGGATAATGCATAAAACTAACATGATTTAAACTGTGCAGAATCAGGGTAGGAGAGCTCTTCATCTATGGTTAATTTATGCCCTCTAGAGGGGAATTTGTTCCATAGTCTCCTGTTACAAAATATGCAGTTAATGTTTCATTTGCTAAGCATGCTAAGCATAGGCTTTAGTATTCTTTATCATAGCCTAAAACAGGCTGTTGGTTTTTTTGTTTCTTTATTTAAACAAATGCACATGGCCCAGCATGTTTTCACTGTACTTTAATTTGTACTTTCACTGTAGGCTACAATTATTCATTTTCATTCATTCATTCATTCATTCATTTTCAAAGAACATTTATCATGATTCATTTTATTCCAAAGCCTGGTCGATGCAATCAAATCAAACTGTGTAATAACAAAGAAGAAAGCAACATGTCAAGAAAGATGAAAATGCTTACCTTTGGCTGCTGCCCAGTGCAGAGGAGTCCTACCATCCCAGTCAATGTCTTTATGGTTAGGATTACATATATTCCTTTTAAGAATATCCTCCACTAGGTCATAATCCCCAGCTGCAGCAGCCTGGTGAAGCTCAGTCATTTCGCATCATAAATCCACAAAGCCGTCTTTTTGAAAACAAAAGTGTCATTATTGTTGTGTCCAACAAAGGAGACACGATCAGGGTGTGTATGAAGCAGATATTACCTTTATTACGTGTGCACACGGGAGCCAAAGCCGATGAAGCACTGACTAAAGAATCATTTAGTATTCTTATTGATTGATGCTGTAACATCTTTAATAAATGCTTTTGTGCAACTGACCCAGTAGAACATAACTGTCAGTATTATTTGCCCTTTGTTTTTAAGATTTATCATGTTGTAAATTCATTGTCACGTACTGCAGATCGTGAAATGATACCTCACTGCTGACACCAATGTAACGCAACGGGGGCTCAGGCGGGCGCCCTTGCCGCATCTGGTCGGCCCAAAGTATAGGTGGCTCGAACCCGGGACTTCCGCGTCTCTCTGCAGCGACCTAGCCCCGTGAGCTAAAGAGAGATCTCTCTTTAGGTCACGGGGCTAGGTCGCTGCAGAGAGACGCGGAAGTCCCGGGTTCGAGCCTCCAGTCGGGATGGGGCCGACCAGATGCGGCAAGGGCGCCCGCCTGAGCCCCCGTTGCGTTACAATACTATGTAACCAAACATTCTTGGCAAGTCAAACATTAAGAAGCTGTTCACACTGTCACTGTGAATGCCCCATGTCGACAGAATTACCCTTTGGTAAAAAAAAAAGCACTCACCTACAGACATTGAGACATGAAATCTGTCGTATGTTCTACTTCAATAGGTTATTCCAGCTCGAACTGTGCTTCCAGTTGAATTTCTATACACCCTCCATACAAATATCAAGAAGAGTATATTGGGAATTTAAAGTACATCCTCCTTCCATGCAAATATATATAAAAGACCGTAATGGCACTTAATGGATATTACTTTTCTTTGATCCAGCGTTTTCATTTCACTTGTATGTTTTGCGTACATCTACAAGATATCTACGACATGAGGTAAATACCGCGAAAGGTTTAAGAGAAGTACTGATTGGATATACTGTAGCAATCCCCAACTAACCAACAAGCTTGCAAACAGGTGGCCTAAATGTTAATTTCTACAAAGTACTACTAGTGCCACAAAAACGTAAAACCGAATTAATGAATAAAAATGTATATTCACTAAATTACAAATTAAATCATAAATTACATTGCTCACACCAACACAGTTCAGACTCCTCTTGGATTATCAGCTTGTACCGATTACTTGAGTGTTATGGTGCAGATGATTTATTTCTTGCAAGATAAATCAGATGACAAGAGTTTAAATGGTAACATTTTGCTGCTTAAATTTACAAAATAATAATTTAGCCGCTGTCTCCAGCACCAGATTTCAGAAGCACAGACCGATATAAGAAAAAAAGGGCGAGGCAATCGAAAATAAAAAATATCCCAGTCCAGTGATTTGTTTGGGCTGCACTCATGGTAACGAGAAAATCCCGTTCGCGAGTACTGGAGCCACCAAGTGTCAAAAAGCAGCAGAGTACTGTACACAGAGGACACAAGATCTTTAAAATAAAAGTTTTAAAGACCGAAATAAACGTTGATGAGGAGTTTAAATATTGTCATAGGTATAGCGCGTTTAAATTTCCAGAACATAGTTCAGTTTATCTATGCAAACTGTCGTTTACATTATTAAATATTTGAAAACAAAACGTCAAGGTGCATAAAGTGCATAACTGCAGGATCTCCAAGAGGTACAAGAGGACGTGCAGCGGTTACTTACTGTACTAGTTCATTGCATTGACGTGGTTCAATGGCACATCCCTAGCTGGGCTATACTGAATCCTGTAATTACTAAACTGGTACGTAAACGACGTGACGACGACGTCGTTTTCATATTACAGGAAAAGAAAATCTTATTATATTTAACTCGATTTATTATAAAATCCTCAGAAGTTAGTTTTGCCTTCCGCAAGCAGACCTGTTAGTCCACAATTTTTCGGTTCAACACATATCCCTTGCACAACCACAATACAGGCCACCCAGACATTTCGCAAGTTACATTTTAGAAACAAGATATGCAGCCCGCATCTCTGCACTGTTTGCCGTCTTCTCCGATTTGCCAAGAACAAGGAAGCGGTGTCAGGCCCCTCCCTCAGGCAGTGGCAGGCCTGACTAGTGGGAGCACTCAGGCCAGTTGGTGAGAGACAGGCGAGTTGTTGTTGTGTGGAAATGATTGGGGTTCTCCCTGGAAGGTGGAATTAATTTTTACCTGACTTTATTACGGAAAAGTTCCCTTTTTTTAAGGAAGAACACAGGTATGCAAGTTGACACCTTTAACATGATTTTGTGAATAAGTTGCTATGCTTGGTCAGAATCGATGTGTTTTTAGTGAAGTATACTAACTAGGTGTTTAGTCACATTGAACGTATGGGAAATGTAAATCAAATGTTAAATGCTGTTACTGGAGGCTTTTTATTTGTAGCTCAGTTGGCAAGCTTCTCGTTATCGATTCCAGTCCAGCAGGATATTTTCTTATTTAAGAAAAAGGTAGCAGTAAAATCAGTCTTTAGTAGATGAAACTACTCTTGTTATATAACAATGAACCTTAACACTGTGGTAAATAATAAATGATTAATCATGTTTCTTGGCTTACAAGTGATGAGACATGTTGATAACTATTTTTACCTTTGGCGACATAGGTAAAATAATGTCACATTAGTACATTGACATGATCAGTGCAACCGTGTATTGTCGTTTCATTTTCTTAGAGATTAGTGGAAAATGAATAAGTGAATGGAAGATGATAAACCTTTACCTTATTGTTCTAAATGTTAATAAGAGTAACTATGCAGCAGGGCATTTAACTAGTGCAATCTGAGTGAGGTACAGTGCCTTGCTTAAGGGTACAACAGCAGTTCCCACATAGTCAAAGTTTGAATATTGCCAAATAAAACTTCTGTGGTAATTTGAAGGTGCTTAATGGATGGCACTGTTTACTTAACATCGTGGAAGAGCTTTAGAATACAGAGCTGCGTGCACACTGATCTTGCATCTCATTGTACCCTGGAGGAGTTGTTTCATCCTGTGTTTTCATATCTTCTCCACTGCCACTCTGCATCTAGCAAAAATGAACTTGTGTTCTGTGTAGGTGTATTTCTGTATAATTTGCCATTCTCTTATGACCAGAGAAAGTGGTCTCAGGAAATTTCAAGGCTGAAGTTTACATGTTGTCTTTATAAAAAAAAAAGAGCTTTGCGTTTGAAAAATGATTTAAGACAGTTAATTTTACTGTAGAAAACTGTAGAAAGGAGAAAATTATAGCTTTTCAAGTGTTGTTACTATAAAAAGTTAAACATCTGCTTTGAGAATAGCAGATATAGGAGCAGAACAAAAAATGTGTCATAAAATACTACAGTATATACCCCAAATAAATGACAGGTTATGAAAATCATTCCGAGCCCCATTAGGGATTCATGATTATTGTTTGCAGTCTCCAGCATTCAGTATGAGCACTAATGTCAGAAAAATCAAGGAATTAGAAAGGGTTGCTAAAAAAGAGATTGGTGAGGTCTGAAAGTTTTATGATAACTATTGTCTGCAGAATATATTATACTATTTGCTGTACCAATGTAACTCCCAATTTATTTTTCCTAGTATGTCTAAAGTAGTTTCATGTACAGTTGTTGACTGAGAGGCATCTTGTTCGCATTTGGCAAAGTTCAAACATTGTGATCGTGAAAGGATTTAATCACTAAGCAAAACATTCTGAGACACCTACTGATGGATGGTGTCTTTGTTTGATAGGTTTGTAATATCAGTTGTGCAGTGGGGACATGGGTAGTATCTGGAGTACTTCCTTGAGAATTCCACCTGGAAAAGGACCGAATCATGTAGGGTGTACAGATCTTATGATGGACCACACAGCGCAGGTAGGTTCACAGGATTTTTCTTGTCTAGTTCACATGTACAACAGAACAAAGCCTGGAATGGAAAAGTAAATGCAATTTCCTGCACCAGCAAGTTCCAAGAATTTAAGAATATTTACACATAGGAAAAGTATAGTAAAACCTTTTTTTCAACATGTAAAAAGTAAAATGAAACAATCTTCTCTAATATTTTCAGGGCATTTATATATTTTTACAAATAATTTAGTAATGCACTTTTTAAGGTAGGCTAGATTAGTAGATAAGTTTGTTACTATTAATCAGTTTTACTTCATAGTTCCCAATAAATGCCAAATATTGTAATAAAACCTGATGATAGAATTTGATCTTTATTTTAAAAAGTAAGCTTGCATAACACAAAGAATTTGGAGGTTCTGTTTCACTGGAGATTTTGTAAAAAAATTATGGCATTTGTAACCATTGTCATTAATTATTTTTGGGAAGATTTGACACACAGCTTTTTGTACACATGGATGAAGGACATGTCAAGACAAAAAGCGGAGAAAACATTCATTTAACCTGAGAACTTAATACTGGATATGTATTTGGAATAGACAATGCTATTACATTAATGACACCACTTCTTGTCCTGCATACACTGAAATGATGGCATGATTTTGTATTTAAAAACACAGAGCTATTTAAAATGGTACAAAATGCACAATATTTTCAATGCACTAATTCACTCAAATTGGCTTACTTCATCAATTACCATAGCTTTGCAAAGTTTCACCTTTTATGTTAGTAAGTTATATTATGTCTGCAAGGCTATGTAAAAAATCTGAAAATGTATTTTGCTGTAGAACTTTTTATCAATTAACTCCAAATTTTATATGTGTAATATTACCAAAAGTATGAACATACTGTATGTGAAAATGATGTATTAACTTAGACAAGTTTCAAAACTTAGAAAAAGCTACAAAAATGGCTGCCAGATTGACATTTCTTTCTCTCTGTTGTTGACACGCAGCCTTTTAGCAGTCACATCTGCTGATTAAAAACCACTATGAAAAGTAGTAGTGACAATTATACATATTCTTTAGTATTAAGTTAAATTAATGTTTAAGTGGGTAAGTACTTGCTTGGATGCTTTCAATAGTGTTCTGAGTTTTGTAGTTATTTTTATTATTAAAGACTCTGTTTAGGACTGGATGGTGGTGCAGTGGTTAGCATGACTGCCTCGCAGTGCTGGGTACTGTACTTGGCTTCAATTCCAGACCCCTGGGTGCTATCTCCTTGGAGTTTGTGTGTTCTCCCTGTGGGTTTCCTCTTGGTGCTTTGATTTCCTCCCGCAATCCAAAAAATATATTTTGATATGAATTGGCTTCTGGAAAAACTGGCCCAAGCTGTGGATGTGTGCAGGTATTTGTGTCTGTGTGCCTGCCCTGCTATGGACTCAGGTCCCATCCGGGCTGGATCCTGCCTTGTGCTCGTTCCTTGCTGAGATAGGCTGTGGCTCCTCCATAACCCTCCATTGCAAGAAGCGGTTAGAAAGTGGATGGAACATTTAATTTAGAATTGCTCATTTTTTTTTGTCATATGTGGCACCCACCGAATTTGGAAAAATCAATTTTATCTTTGTTTTCTACTTCTCAATGCTCAACTAACCCAAAAACCACGCATGAGGGAAAATGGAAAAGTCCCCCGACGCCCCCTCACCCACCACATTCTAGCCATTTTTTAACGTCACAGAAAAAAACAAGGATCGGTGGAAATTGGAGGGGAGGATGCTTTTTTTTTAATCTGGCAATCAAAACACATTTGCAGAACACATTTGAGCATATTTTAATTAAAAAAAACATTGGTACAACCATTTTGTGCTTTTAAAACCTACAGTACAATATCTTTTATGTTTAAGCTAAATGCACTAGTTTTTTGCTGGTCAGAATTTTCCCTCATTGTTCAAAATAATTGTCCCTTAAGTTTAAATTCATTAGTGTTTCTAAATTAACTGATTTTCCCAAGGCCTTAGTTATTACCAAAGACAATTTTTATTTGTCTTTTTACAATATTTGCAGTATTTTGATAGTTATTACATAGTAGAATCTTTTTTTTTCTTTAAATATGAAATATTTGGTTCTACTTATAGCTTTTGGATAAACACTTAAGAATTGACCACATAGCATTACTATACACAATGTTTCAAACTGTTGAGTTATTCGAGTAGTTTCTGTTTAAAAGATGGCTCAAAATAAATTTTGCATTCTGGCTATCTGTGAACCACACAGATGGATGTTAAGTATTGTTTGTCAAACTTAATCAGTTTAATATATCAGGATGAAGTCTGTTTTTCATAACTTTGTAACTGATTGCAGTTAGCAGTTGTACGTTCTCATCCGATCCTGCCAGATAGTACTCTGCTATTTTCCTAATTGCTTAGATCAAACCACATGAAATACATTGCTGGATGTACTTAGTATGGCTATTAATTCAGCTAGTATACCACCCATTTCATATGGTATGGATGTTTTATTTTTCACCACAAGCGCTAAACAAGAACTAAGCAGTGGTTATGTTATATTTATTTACCTATTTCATAGTTCTGCTCTGGGTTTTCTTAAACATTTTATTGAGAGAAAAACCTTAAGCAATATTGGAGACTAACGAGTCTTATGAAACCGGCTGCTGTAAAGTGATTACACGTTTCAGTATCTTACGAGGAATTATGTTTAAGAAACTTGCGTACTTAAATCCATCCAAACATTTTAAAACTGATTCTTCCAGTTCTGGGTCAGGGGAGTTGGAGCCTATCCTGACAAGCAATGGGCGTAAGGCGGGATAAACCCTGAATGGGACGCCAGTCCCATCACAGGCCTCGCAGACACAGACAAGACACAGACAAGACACAGACAAGACACAGACAAGACACAGACAAGACACAGACATGCACACACTCACACCAGGGCCACTTTTCCAGAAGCATGTATTTGAAGTTTTTTTTTAAAAAAATAGAAGGCTACAACAAATGCACGAGTTGTGAGTCAGAACATTGTTTAGGAGTTCAAGTAATTTCATCCATCCAACTGCTTTATCCAGTTCATGGCTGTGGGGGAAGTGGTGCCTATCTCAGCCAACAACATGCACAGGGCAAGAGAGGACTCCAGTCACAAGCACAGGGAGAACCAGATAGCACCCCAAGGAATTGAACCCCTGAGCCCCAGCACTGTGAGGCAGAAAAGCTACCTATTTTACCACCATTCCACTTAGATATCTGTTTAATATATCATACAATATAGAGTATACATTCCTATTTAGAGACTAAAAATTCAGTTGTTTTGATAATGTGAATAAAATGCTACTCTAATTCACTCTAATTTATTCAGTTCACATTTATAGTGTTATCTTATCTCACACATTTACATTAGGCTATGAATTTGTTTATTTCATGAAGCAAATCATAATAGTTGGAAACCTTTTAATTTAAACTTTTTAAATGCCACCACTTCTAAGAATACTTACAGACGTTTATTAATTACTGCAAAATATTTCTCAAGTGCCGAATGAGAAGTACAAATTGAATTCTGATCACCACCAGAACCAGACATGGGTTTAATGAGATACTGTACATTTTAATGAATAAAACTGTTTCAAGTATTAAATATTTGTTCAAGGAACTGTAACTATTTTTTTAAAATAATCTCAAAATTGAAATTTACCTGTAAAGTGATAATATTTTTTGCTGTGATTTCATCAGTGTTGGCAAGCTACATAACTTCAATAAACATTTTATGTCATACAGTACTGTACCATAAAGTTGTTGTTGGCAATTTTAAATGTGCTTTTCCATTTTTAACAGGGAGCTTTCTTTCGGCTATACTACCCTTGCGAGACACCGACAGGCTATGAAATGCCAGGCTGGATCCCCAATAAAGAATACTTTAATGGGCTTGCTGACTTCCTGAAGTTAAACAGATGCCTGTCTGAAAGGATTTTTAACTATCTTTATGGCAAGCAAATATACACATTTTATTTGAAAAAAAGTCTCAGGTTTTTATGTTGCTTGTGACATTAACCTCAATTAATATACCATACAAACCAGAAAAAAACAAAAAAATGAAATGAAATGAGAAGAAAGTTCATCTTCTCATACTATGTAGTTTTTCTGCACTTGCTGTATAACCGATTCGTGAACTTAAATTAGTGCTTCTGATCATCTGCAGATTGTAAATTCCAAACCTAGTAATGGATGCCTTAATGTTTAGAAGCAAAAGGCTGCCAGTATCCAGTGTTGGGTCTGTAATTTGCACTTGTTAGATGGGTTGAAGTTTCGATTTATTGGGGTCAATGAATTAAAGAGATGGAATTAACCCAGAAGAAGAGATAGGGTGTTGACTCAGCTGGTCAGATTAAAGGCATTGTTATTGTTGTATTTTTAACAAACAGGGGACTTAACATGCTGGATAGAGAGGGAATAAAAAAGGATACAGTTTGGATCCATTATTGTTGTGCTCTGTTGCAGAATGAGTTACTTAAATTAACACTGTAGTCTCTGTTTCTCATGTCATATATGCATTTATTAAATACAATCCAATTTAACACAGTAATTTAAACCTTGAAAATATTAAAAGTGAAATCCATGTCAAAATAGTTTATATAATTAATATTATAAGATTTATTTTGGAAGAAAAAAGGTTTTGAAGACTTTATTACTTTTACTACAGTGTTCAATATAAAGTCTACACCACACAATACAGTGCAATACACTCCAGTTCACTGTGCTGTTATCGCTGGTATTTTCCCTTAGAGATATGCATCATTAAAATTGAGAAATAGCAACTGGGGAAAATTAAAAGATGTTTCAACTCTCTAGACCATTTTTGTGCCTTTGTCAGCTTGGTTATGAAAACTACTCTGTTAGTCTAATGTGTCCCCGTACACATTACATGAATATTTTGTAACTTAAAAAATATGTGAAGTCCATGTGTGTATAACCTTTTACAAAAATGAGAATATTCTGTATTTGCTCTTTTTACTTATTTATAGATTTTACTAGCTTAATTACTATACTATAATTGTGCTACTGTAATTAACAATTATACTAATAGTGAAAATCAGACACCATGTTTCATTCTATTAATACAGTGCTTTTATTTTTCCCCATCAGGATCTTTTACAATTCCCACTGCATGGAATGCACCTTTTAAACCTGCAGACAAATACCCACTAATTATCTTTTCTCATGGACTGGGAGCTTTCAGGTATTTTCACTTATTTGTTCAATAGTGGTTGAACTGCAGTTGTTGAAGAGTCTTTTTTTTCTGCGACTATTGATTCAATTTTTTTTTCATTTTCACTAAACTAATACTTATCTGATTATATGAATAATGTGTTATGTTTCTATACAGTACTTATAGGAGGAAATGCCTTGCTTGCTTTTTCATCATATATCAGTACAAAATACAGAAATTATTGTCTTATACATTTTACAAGAATGAAGACATAGATGGTTTTTAATTAAACCATAAATCTAAGAAAAAGATGAAGCACACCATGAAACAATTAGTTAATATGGGAAATGAATACAGTTCTCAGGGTGTAAGTTAGAACCAAAAAGGTGTGGTATATTCTGCTTCCTTAGATTCTTCTTACTTACAGTACAAAGACTTTCTGCATTTGAAATGTTTCATGCAGATCTCTGTATACTGTATATATTGACTGCATCTGTCAATTGGATGAATTGAGCTGTAGTTTAACTGATTGCCAGTATTGAAAGTAGGCATTTTGTCATTACAAACGTATTTGTAAATGCTCAATAAAACTTGTAAATTAAGGGGAGAGCCTTTTTTTTCTTTCTTTTTAGGACTCTTTATTCAGCTATTTGCATAGAAATTGCCTCCCGGGGTTTTATCGTTGCCGCTGTGGAGCACAGGTAAACCTTTCAAGAATGTCTTTTCATCACAATTCAGCAATGGAAATATTCCTTGGTTCCACATTCTCAAAAGAAAATTAAGACTTTGGGTAATAGAGACTAAGGGTAGTGCCTGGGAAGAGAATTATGCCGATTCAACAGTAGCCGTTGTTAAAGAAACATGCTAAATGTTTCTGGGTCATTGACTAAATTGAACAATGGCACAGGATGCTCCATAAATACAGATGACTGTGGTGTTATTTGTCTCAAAATAAGTGTACTGGAGGTCTGCAGACAATAGTACAAACTAGGTCATCACATTTTAGCAGAATGGACTGCTAGGACCATATGGATAACATAAAGGCCCTAGTGTGGTGTGTCATGTGTGATGCTGAATAACCTCACTCTGTAGAGTAATTGCT